TTGACCAGACACCAGCATGATCCTCCCCACCACCACCCACCTCTAGTATTTTTGCTAGGATCATCAGCTTGATGATCCATTGCCGTCTCGTTCCCTCAAGGCACAAGTGTGAGCTGCTGAACGCGCTTGGTCCAAATTCAAACTCATGGTCCATCGGCAGATTTGGCTTCACACCAAGTCCTATTGCTGCGCTCTTGCCTCCGCCAAATCCTCCTTCTAGTCCAAGGTAATCTTGGAGGCAAAGGACAACTCTAGGCTTCTCTTTTCCACCACAAACTGTCTCCTCCGTCCACCTTCCCACGTCTCACCTATCTTCTCCTCAAACGCCAACTGTGAGGAGATGCTGGACTTCTTCGAATCCTAAATCAGGGGATACGTTCAGCCACCTCTGCCCTGTCCACCATCACATCACCTCTCCCTCATGACCCAAACTCCACCCATCCCTCCCTATACTCCTTCAATCCTATCTCTCCCTCCTCCCTCACTACGACTGTTTGCAAACTCAAACCCACCACCTGCTCCCTCAATCCCATCCCCACCTCTCTCCTCGTTTCCCAGCTCCACCTTCTGGCCCCTCTTCGGTCCGATGTCATCAACCTCTCCTTGTCCACTGGTTCAGTTCCCATCACCCTAAAAACAGCTGTCATCACTCCCATCCTGAAAAATCCTTCCCTGGACTCATCCCTCTTCTCCAGCTACCACTCCATCTTTAACCTCTCATTCCTCTCCAAGGTCCTGGAACGAGTCGTCAGGTCCCAGCTCCGCTCCTTCCTTTCTCGCCATTCTCTCTTTGAACCCCTCCAATCCGGCTTCTGCACGGTCCGCAGCACGGAAACAGCCCCGGTCAAAGTCACTAATGACATTCTGAACATCTGTGATCAGGGCTCCCTCTGCCTCCTTGTCCTTCTCGACCTCTCTGCCGCCTTCGACACTGTCGACCACTTCATCCTCATACACTGCCTCTCCTCTTTACTTAATCTTCGCAGACCTGCCCTTGCCTGGTTCGATTCCTACCTCTCTCACCATCTCCACTTTGTTGCCTCTAACGGTTTCTCCTCCAGCCCCCGCACAGTCAAGTCTGGTGTCCCCCAGGGCCCTGTCCTTGGCCCTCTCCCCTTTAATATCTACATGCTCCCCCTTGGTGACATCATCCACAGACATGGGGTCAACTTCCATATGTATGCGGATGACACCCAACTCTTTCTACTCCACCCTCAACTCCAGGACCACTGCTGTCCTGACAGACTGTCTGTCGAACATCAAGTCCTGGATGAGGGCAAATTTCTTACAGTTGAATGTGAACAAGACTGAGGCCCTCCTGATTAGCTCACGCCAGCGCCTCAGCGCCTCAGGCTCTGGCAGTATCAGCCTCCATGGTTGCACACTACAACTCACCATAGCCAGTCAGGAACCTGGGTGTCTTGTTTGACCCTCAACTGTCTTTTCTTCCCCACATCCAAGCCATGACCTGCTCTGCCTTCCCTCACCTCTGTAACATTACCCGACTCCGCCACTACCTCACCCCTCAGGCCCCTGAACCTCTTGTTCATGCCTTCATCACCTCCAGGCTCGACTATGCAAATGCCCAATTGTCGGCCTTCCCAACTCCTCCCTCCACAGGCTGCAGATAATCCAGAACTCTGCAGCCCGTGTCCTCTCCCGCACCAAACTCCGTGACCCCATCTCCCCCATTCTTGTCCAACTTCTTTGGCTCCCTGTCCTTCAGAGGATCCAGTTCAAGATCCTGGTCTTCACCTACAAAGCCCTCCATGGCCTCGCCCAACCCTACCTCTGGGACCTCCTAAACCCCTGCCCGTTCCCTCCGCTCAGCCGGCTCTGGCCTGCTCCACGTCCCCCGACCCACCCGCCCCACCATTGACAGGAGAGCTTTCAGCCACTCTTCCCCGAACCTCTGGAATTCCATCCCCAAATCACTCCATCTCGCCTCCTCCTTAGCCTCCTTCAAGTCCCACCTCAAAATCCTCCTCTTCGACCATGCCATCGGTCACCCCCCTTCCCCTCCCCTCCCTTCTCCCCCCCGACCCCAACTCGGGTCTGAAATTCTGTACACTGTCCAGTACCTTGGGACGTCCTCCCTACGTGAAAGGCGCTATACAAAAATGTAACCTTGTTGTTGTTGATAGATGTTTCCTGCGAGAAAGAGAGATTGTGTGTGTTTGAGATAGAGTGAGAGAGACAGACAGACTGTGTGTGAGAGAGAAACAGAGAGAGATTGTGTGTGTGTGTGTGTGTGAAAGAGCGAGAGAGACTGAGGCAGAAGATTTGCAGGGCCCAGGGGGCTTGTGTAAGCCAACAAGGATCACTGGATCCTTTACAATACAATACAAAATTACATTTATAAAGTGCCTTTCACATCGGGAGGATGTCTCAAGGTGCTGGACAGTTAGAGATTAGGACCCAAGTGGGGGGTTTGGGATCAGGGAGGGTGGAGGGCAGAGGTCGAAGGCATGGTTGAAGAGGAAGGTCTTGAGGCTATGCCTTAAAGGAGGAAAGGGAAAGAGCCAGGCAAAGGGAATGTGGGATGGAGTTCCAGAGCGTGGGGGCAGAGAGGCTGAAGGCCTGATTGCTGATGGTGGGGTGGGCAGGGCTGGGCTGGGGACATGGAGCAGGTCGGAGCCTGCAGCGCAGAAGGAGCGGACAGATTGATAAGATGCTTGCAGAGCCGGTCATGGCACGGATGTGTGGGAGAAAGGATGGTTGAGGGTCGAACAAGATGGCTAGGTTCCTGACTGGCTTGGTGAGGTGGAGTGTGCATCCGTGGATGCTGAAGCTGCCAATGCCTGAGTTGGGGAGGCGCTGGCATGAGCCAATCAGGAGAGCAGATTAAGAGGAGGATTTCAACACGTTCCTAGCTCAACCTGCCACCTTTTGGTGCACTTTATCTTAGCATCACCTCAGATGTTGTTCGTACCCACTAAGGTAACAGGCATGCTCTGCCCCATTTACTTTCTGGTTAGAATCCAAACCATGAATCTCAGCATCAAAATAACTTATTACCTTTCTGACCGCGGTCCTATTATTTGGTAAACATCTCTGGTAAACCCACAAAATGAGAAAACCTTGCCATACATTTCTGTTGTTGAATTTACATAACAGGAAATCAAGGGGTTATAGTACAAGGAAGTAAGTGCTTAATATTATAGGCTTTGGTTTACCAGTCTAGCTCAGTTGATAACACTCTTACCTCTGAGTCAAGAGGTTGTAGGTTCAAGTCCTGACGTGGAGCTTAAACTCACATAGTCTAATCTGAGACTCTAATACAGTGCTAAAGATGTGTTTCATTGTTGGAGGTGACTTTGGATGAGACGTTAAACCAAGGCCCGTCTGCAAATTCAGATGGACATTAGAGATCCCATTTGCATTATTCAAAAAGAGAAGGGAGTTTCCACTATGTCCTGGCCAAAAATTCCCCCAAATAAAACCGATTATTCTTTTCCTGGCTGTTTGTCGGAAGTTGCCGTGCACAATTTGGCTGCCGTGTTTGCCAACCAATTCCCAGACCCAGTCACAGTATTTACATTTTTCCCATTTGGCAAAGATGTGTGCTACACTCCCAGGAAAAGAACAGGATTATTATAAAATAACAACAACAAAATTACATTTGTAAAGTGCATTTCATGTTGGGAAGGATGTCCCAAGGCGCTGGACAGACAGAGTTACGGACTCGGGTTGGGGGTTGGGGTGGGGGAGGAGGGAGGGCAGGGAGGGAAGCAGGGAGATCGAAAGCACGATCGAAGAAGAGGGTCTTGAGGTGGGTCTTGAAGGTGGTGAGGGAGGGGGCAAGACGGAGGGACTGCGGAATGGAGTTCCAGAGGGGGACAGGAAGCAGGCCGGAGCCCGCTGAGTGGGGAGAGCGAACAGGATGGTAGGTATTTATGTAATATATATAATATAATAATAGAATATAGGTCATTTCTCTTGGCATCCTTCCTTGAGTTCTCCATTGTCTAGTTTGTACGAAAGTCTAGTCTACAAACTGAATTTTCTTCTCTAGATTTTAGCAGGAAAATCATAGCAATATCCAAAAATACCAATAGATTTGAAGTTTGTTGACTGAAAGCCAATTCTCTGCAGATCTTAGAAGAACCAGTTTCCAAATTTAGAGGGATTTTCAACAATTCCGCACAATTTTAAATCTTCAGTAATCCTACATCAGGTGTAAACCAGGAACAAAATGATAAACTTTATCCCTATCAACTTGAGATGGCCTCGCAATGATTACTGAAGCTCGAGTCGTGTTCAGTTCAGTAATCCAAACCAGTTGGCGAAGAAAGTGAAGTAGGAAAGTGGCTCATTTATACTCACCCAATGACCCATTGGCAAATCAAGGCTCTTTAAGGATAGTGCAACCTATTCAGACTTTTCACATAGCCAGTTGACTTTTATCTTATGTTTAATACTGTGCTTACATTATTGTTCTGCATTTTATTTCATGACTTGCAAACAAGTTATAATAAATAATAATCCTTGCATTTGATTATAGATGTCTCAAAGCGCTTCATGGAATAGACTGCAAAGTGAGTTGACTGTATATTTGTGGGCAAAACATGGCAGCCAATTCCGCACAGCAGTGTCCCACAAACAGGTGGATTGAAGTGACCAACCTTATCATTGTTCTTTTTTTGAAGAAATATTATCAAGAGTAAAGAAATTTGCCCAAGGTTTTGCCCTGCCAGGAATCGAACCCAGGTCTCTCGCTTGCGAGGCGAGTGCTCTAACCAATGAGCTACAGGACTCCTATTCACTTTGCAATAAAGACACCACACCCTTCCCATCATTACTGCTTTAACTTGATCCACCACTTTCCCATCCACAGTGAAAGGCTGATGTACGTGCGGGTGTCTCAAACAGGAAAAAGTTAACAAAAAATAGGCAGAAATTCCAATTATGTCTTGAAATCTACGTTGACTAGCTGGAGGCTATTTTTGTATCCTTTGTAATACTCACTTCACTCTACCATGTGCATATGACTTCAGCTTAGTGCAGGAGTTGTTCAGGAGAAAATATATATTTCATGCAGTGAATCTCCTTTGCTCTGATCGCAAACAGTGACAAATGGAAGGAAATATTGAAGCACCGAAGGCAGAGGCAATCAAAACACAGACACTGACATACAGACATTGGAAGATTCTTGCAATAGTTTTATTTTCAGTGTCTTTTTTGTTATTGGGGCTAGCTGTTGCTGTTACAATGTGTGAGTATTCTATTTGTTGCTGTAACACGGATTGCATGATTGTACGGTCTGCTGTGTAATCCTAGAAACTGAAAGCTGAAATCGTAGTGAGATTAACAGTAGCTGTTTCAGAATGTCTTTCTTGAACATTTACAATGACTTGGATGGGATGAGAGACTTGCCGAATAATTTCCTCTACCAATTAATTAAAAGTGTAAACTTTAAATGTCAAATGTCTTTAGCAAAAAGCTTTTTAGCTAACATTCTTTTTGCAAGCTCTTCACCTATTTATTCTGTTCCGAACAAGTTTTACCAAACGTTAATTGATGAAGATGGTCTCTGTTTAACTTAGTTTAGAACTAGGTCATTGAAGTATACCACAGCTACCTAAAGGGGCACAAATCTCTATAACTGCATCTGAATATGATCTGTGATGAAGAGAATGAGTTCTGTAGTGTCCTGGTAAAATTCATGGCTGCCATCATGTTGAGCTAGTGACACTCTTGCCTCTGAGTTGTGGGCTCAAGCCCAAGGTCAGTACTTTAGCTCATAGATTTACATGCCACTGTTGTATTCTTGAATGGATTCTGTGGTTCAGACATTAGCACTGACAGCATCAGCATCCAAGGCTGCACTCTGCAGCTCGTGTACTGTCCCGCACCAGGCTTCGGGACCACATCACTCCCACCCTCGCTCGCCTCCACTGGCTCCCCATCCCCCAGAGGATCGAATTCAAGATCCTCATCCTCACCTACAAGGCCATTCACGGCCTTGCTCCCTCCTACCTCTCCAACCTACTATCCCCCTACCTACCTGCCCGTACCCTCCGTTCCTCTGGCTCCGGTCTGCTCCACATCCCCCGCCCCAACCGCCCTACCATCGATGGCCGGGCCTTCAGCCTCTCAGCCCCTAGGCTCTGGAACTCCATCCCCCAGTGCCTTCGCCGCCTCCTCCCTTTCCTCCTTCAAGGTCGGTCTCAAGACCTTTCTCTTTGACTGTGCCTTCAGCTCCCCTCTCGACTCTCTACCCCCTCCTCACCCCCTCCCTTCCCTCCCCTCACCCTGACCATTTTCCCCCTAATTAATAAAGTTCTATTAAGACCAGATCTAAACTAGTTCTCCCTTTAGTTAGCTTATAATAGCTAACTTGTGAAGCTTTCAAGGAGGGAGAAGGAAATGGAGAGGGAGTAGGAGCGGTGATGGCTCATGTGAACTATAAATATTAGTGTACTACCGGTTCGGCCAAATAGCCTATTTGTGTGCTGTAGCATTCTATCGTGGAACTGGTGTATAACTTCTCACTGCACCTGAGGTAAAAAATTTAACTTTTTCTTTCAGATCTTTACTTCCCTGTCCAGTGCACTGATAATGAAGCTTGTAGAAACAGTCGTGATTTTGCAGGCTGTGGTAAGTGCTTCCTGTATTATGGAACTCTTTTAAACAAGCTGTAGTCCTGTAGCTTAGTGGTTTGACAACTCACCTCGCAAGCGAGAGGACCTGGGTTCGATTCCTGGGCAGGGCGAAATGTTGGGCAGGTTTCCTTACTCCACACGCCTCTGTTTTCCGGGAATAATAATCTATTGAAACAAGAAATAAATAACAATAATAATTTGGTCACTCAATCCAAGACACTGCTGTGCCCATTTGGGTGCCACACTTCTCCCACAAAATATACAGTCAATTCACTTTACAGTATATCCTGTGAAGTGCTTTGAGACATCTCAACAATGTGATAAGGCACTATAGCAAATGCAAGAATTATTATTATTAATCGATTTAGACACAGAGGTAGTTAATCTTTTTGGTTGGCCAACCGAATACATTTTTCTTTGTTGAATTTTTCTTTATTTATGGCTTTGTAGTAGCCCACGGACTACTTTGGGGGTGTCAAGAAATGGCAATAGTCCAGGCAAATCTCGGCCAAATCTTTGTTTCCAGTTGCTGCGATGCTCAAGGCGCTGCCATAAATAAAGAAAAATCAATTTTAAAAAAACTGTATTTGGTTGACGGACCAAAAACTATTGGCCACCACTTGAGTTAGAAAAAATGGGAAACATTGCTACGAATAATTCCTTTATTGCCTTTCAACGCACTCTAATAACTGCATTCCTTTCCTGTAACAGGTTGCGGAAGACAAAAAGTAGTAACTCACCGAATAGTAGGAGGATTGAGTACAACAGACGGCGAGTGGCCTTTTCAAGTGAGTCTGCAACATCACGGGCAACACTTCTGTGGAGCAACACTAGTATCCTGCAGGTGGATTGTCTCGGCTGCACACTGTTTTGAGAACAGGTAAAGTCTGCCACAGCTGCTTCATAATGGAAGTCAATCCTTGATATTATACCTTTCATGTCAGGAGGATGTCTCAAAGTGTTCCCCAGAATTATTTTGTGAACCATTGTGACTATGCATTTTGAAGGCAAGTTGCAAACTGTTCAGCTTACAAGTGTTTAGAGCACACGTGTATCTATTGTATACTGTACTGTTTATTTTTAGAAAGGTTCTTGTACTGCATTTTAGTGTTACTGAATCTCCATAGGATTACAGTGCTTCCACAATCCACATAGAATGAATTTGGTTTGTTGAATTGTTATTACACAATTCGTAATTGTGCAAGTCTTAAATATATGTGTATATTTTAAGAATTATATATATACATATATAAATGTGGGTATGTATAAATATATTATATACTCATCCTCAGCACTTTTAAAGCTCATTAATTAAGTACTCTTGCACTGAGTCTAACCTGAATAAGACGCATCTACATTAATTATGCCTCTACAGGTTATGTCCATTCTCATTTTTCCTCAATTAAAATGATTGGTTTAATACTTTGAGGATCTGGGTTAGGAAATAAATCATAATAATTTCCCAGCAAATAATGCATGACTAATTTTATTTTCTTCTCATCCACCGCCTCTCCTCTCACCTCAAAGCTTCACGGTTCTGCCCTTGAATGGTTCAGATTGCACCTCTCACACCGCCTCCACTTCATCTCCACAAATGGCTTCTCCTCCAGCCCCTGCCCCATCTCATACAGCGTTCCACAGGGCTCTGTCCTTGGTCCACTCCTCTTCAATATCTATATGCTCCCTCTTGGTGACATCATCCGCAGACATGGGGTCAACTTCCATATGTATGCGATTGACACCCAACTGTACCTCTCTGCCTCCACCCTTGACTCCAGGATCACTGCTGTCCTGACAGAATGTCTGTCAGACATCAAGTCCTGGATGAGAGCTAACTTTCTTCAGTTGAACTTCAACAAGACTGAGGCTCTCCTGGTTGGCTCCCGTCAGCACCTCCTCAACTCAGGCTCTGACAGCATCACTATCCATGGATATGCACTCCACCTTGCTAAGCCAGTCTGAAACCTTGGCGTCTTGTTTGACCCTCAACTATCCCAAGTCTCTCCTCTTCGACTGTGCTTTCGATCACCCTCCTTCCCCCCCTGCACTCCACCCTCCTCAATCCCAACCCCCAGCTCAGGTCTGGAAAACTGACTGTCCAGCACCTTGAGACATCATCCCAGTGTGAAAGGCGCTATACTAATGTAATTTTGTTGTTGTTGTTCTATTGGCAGGAATGAGGATTCTTTGACTGCAGTCTTTGGTGTGCATTATTTGAATAAGGAAATGAATCCAAATGTTCAGATTCGAACTATCCGGAAAATAATCATTCATCCCGATGCAAACTTTTCTACAACTGATTATGATGTTGCTCTACTGGAGTTGACTACACCCATTCATTATACAGACTTTGTCCAACCAGCTTGCCTGCCTCCAGCGACACCATTGTTTACTGATGGTCAATACTGCATAATTATTGGGTGGGGAAAAATATCTGAAAATGGTATGTATTTTTTTATTAATCCTGAACATTTGAGTCCCAAGTTAGAATTGCACCCCTGATGTCTTGCCTTTAGCTTTTTCTAAGAGTCAATCTGTGGAGGTCACCAGGGCAAATTAACTCAGGAAAGACCCTTTGTAGTGTTGCTCAAGCATTCTGGATGGAAGGATCACATTGAATCGTGATGTTTGTTCTGGAAATTTGTCTTCAAAATAGTCTTTGTAAATAAAGGTGCCCAAAAAATCTACAGTCAATTCAGTTTACAGTGTATTCTTACGGAGGGCTTTGAGACGTCTCGAAGATGTGATAAGGCGCTTTATCAAATGCAAGCATTATTATTAAAGTGGATGCAGTTTCTGCAATCGGACGAAAAGAAATGTGCCATATATAATCAAACTCTCCAAGTGGACTGTTATTGTTGAATTAACGAGAGCTTAGTAACAATTTCTTTACGGCAAATATGACTGGTAGCAAACAAATGTATTTTCTGAACCCACACACAGTGTGCTACCTCTGGATGTCATTGACATATGTTAGAATATATTGTACACTGTTTTGCCACTCTTGACTGGGTCCGTTGTTCTTTAATGCGATTGTACAATCTAAAAGTATTGTATGTCCATCTGTTTTGTTAACAGGAGCCTCCAGTAATGAACTTTTGAAGACGGAAGTTAAGCTTTTCAACAATAGTGATTGTGAAGCCTTAACATCCCAAACGATAACTAGGCAGATGATGTGTGCAGGGGTCCTAGAAGGTGGCAAAGATACGTGCCAGGTATTGAATAACAATTTTATTGACATTTTTATTTTCCTAAGATGGATATTAACATGAAGACATTTCCAATTGTGGGATGAATGTCAGCATTGAATATTCTACATCTGCTGTAACACAGGCAGATATTGTAGTCTTGCCACCCTACTCCTCAAATCACCACCACAATGATAATGCTCTCTATTTGCCATAGATCACATTGTGACCTCTCTGATTGAGATTAGTTAATACTGAATGTGGGTCTGTATCTTTACAAAGTGGTTGTGGCTCCCTCCAAAACATTTTATATCCGTCAGCTTGTGATGCAATCATATAACAATAACTATAGAAATTAGCCCATTTGGCCCACTGTGTCTGTGCTGACTTTTTCAAAAAAAAATCTATTCAGTCCCGTTGAGCTGCAAATTATCCTACTCACTGATTTGATACTTTGGATTTTTTTTTTTTAAAAATCAAATAGTACAAAATGAGTTTAATTTGCACTTGTTCAGATTTTTGCTGTTTATTGATCAACAGTTCTATTTCCAATTATAAAAATGTCTGCAAGTTCATGAGTCACAGAATAAACTTGCATACTAATAGTACACCAGATTTTTCAAAAAATAGATGATACAGAATTGAACGCAGATCAATCCTGATCTTTGCAATCTTCACGTATCTGAACTTTGTATTTTGTGTATCCCTAGGGAGATTCTGGAGGACCTTTGCTGTGCCAAGATGTGGATTCTCGGCTTGGATATTGGCAGGAATTGTTTCCGGTGGAATAGGTTGTGCAAGACCTAATCTTCCAGGAATATATGCAAAGACCACTGCCTTCAGTAATTGGATTACTGAAATCATAAATGGATGAAAATTGTGACCCTGTATTCTCATGAAACGTGATGTTCTCAATAGGCTTAAATTACCTGTGAGATGGGCGATTGAATTGATTGTGGTTAGACTGAATGATTGTAACAAAATACCAGGGGGCAAAATTACTCCCAAAGACTATTTTAATGATGCAGATTGTTTTTGAAGTGTGATTGAATAGATACACAATGGCTTCAAAGCAGTTTTAGATTCTTGCTTAGACAGTTGTCTGTCAAGTTGTTGTTGATCACGTTTTTGTGATGCCTTGCATTCCTGATAATGTATAACATTTCTGTTGCTCATTTGATATGCTTATTGTAAGTCCTCTTCCTGTGCTATGACCAACACTTGCTGTTCTTGGAACGAGTTGTTGCAAATCAAGTTTGCTCACACCACACCCTCCACTCCCTCCCTTACTCGAACCCCTCTGGTCCGGTTTCTGCCCAGCTCACAGCGCTCGTCAAAGTAACAAATGATGTCCTCTCTTTCTGTGACCAGGGCTCTCTCAGCCTCCTCGTCCTCGTGGACCTCTCCTCTGCATTCGACCATGCCATCCTCCACCACTGTCTCCCTCATCCACCTTAGTGGGACTGCACTCACATGGTTCGAGTCCTACTTAACCAACCGCCAGCACTTCTTGGTTTTTCCTGTCGCCCCTGCCCAGCCCCTGCAGGGTACCCCAGGGCTCCATCCATGGCTCCATTCTTTTCTTCGTCTATATGCTCCCTCTCAGCAATGTCATCTGCAAACATGGAGTCAGCTTCCCCGTGTATGCAAATATGTCAACTTACATTAAATGAACATTGTACAGCCTTTGTTACAATTCTCTAGTTGAATTGTTCACTATTTTCTAACTCACTGTTGGTGCATAGGCTTTTTAAAGGTTAATCTTAATTAACCTATTCTTTCCATTGTAAAGTAACTCCAGGCTAATACTAACCTTATACAAACTCACTAATTTCAGCAAAATGTTCTCAAATCAATGCTAACCACTCCCAAAATTATAACCTTGCAATAGTAAAGCTGGGCAAGCATTACCAAGTCCACTTTATCAGGATTGAGATGAGAAATTGCATGTAACATTCTTTACTCTGTGCTTTACAGGGTCTCATCTATTGCCTCTAAACATTCATTGAGCCATAAACAAGTTTTTTGGATAACGTTTTATTGATTGAGTTTCTGTTTGAGAGTTTAACAAGGTCACCCCTGATTAAAACCTTTTTGTTAGCTTGGAATTACATATGTTGTGAAATGCTTCCACCTGTGTGTGTATATATGTGTGCTTTTGCCTTATTCAACAGAACTAAATTAGACATCAAACCTTTTTTAAGGTTGGCAGCTTACATCTGTATGTAATGTGGACAGTTGATCAAGCATAGAAGGAAATGAAAATGAAAGAAGGAAAGAGTTGCATGGTCTCCTGTATCTACTGATGCATTACATCAAATACTTGCTGCAGAAATCCCTATATCACATCCAGGGAAGAAGAGTAAGATTTTTAAACAATATATTTATATTCTCTATTTATTAACTAGGACTCCTAATGATTAATAGGCCTAGCCATTTCACAAGGACATCTTTAAGATGTGCTCACATCATTGATTTTTTCCCCCTGTATGTTACAGTGTAACGTGAACATTCAGATTGTATGAAGTTACATCCTATATTTATTGTACGTTTGTGATCTAAATGTTTTCAAAATGCATGCCTTAAAACAACCTTTCATTAAAAAGTTTAATTTCTATAAAAGCTCTGAGATCTGTTTGTTTTCTTGGGAACATGTATAATATCATTCTTCAGTATAAGTGGCTATTTTGGATGCACTTGGAACTTAGCATTCCAGATTTGCCATTTGGAGATGCTGATACTGTTAAGTGGTCTGTTCCATACACTATAAATTCTGCAAAAAATGCTGCCTGCTATCAAATCAATGTCAAATCACAATAACAATATAAATCATGTTCTGGATTCAAGACAAGTTATTTGCAGGACTAAGCATGTACACATAGATAGAGGCTGTTTGAATTACTGGCTTAAGTGCTTTGAGCCAGTACCTCATGTGGAAGACGTTATATAAATCCAAGTTGTTGAGTTATTTTGTAAAAAATAATCACTGCAATATTGACTTGGGGGAGTCAAATGTGTAATTGTAAGTGTGGGTGTAATTTGGGTGTGTGCTTGTTAGACATGAGCTGATGGCTTATGTCAATGTGGTCCAATTTGACACGTGAAGGACAGCACTTCTGATAATGTAGCACTGTACTTCTTCCAGCAGTGACAGCAAAAACAAAATGTACTTTTGACTTTGTAGTTCTGAAACAAAACTTGTGCAAAATCAAAGCAAATAAAAATTTAAAATATTTAAAAATATTTAAAATAGCAGAGTGAGGTTAAAATGGTAGGAAGTATTCAGTGGGGTGTCCACAAGTCCACGCTGGGACCATTGGAACTAAATAGAGCAGTCAGTGCAAAGTAATACATTTTACAGACAGAGGGTGAATTGTGAAATCAAAGGAGGCACCCAAGGTCTGGAAAAGAGAAATCAACATGGACTGCACCTGCTCTGATTACTGATAAATCAAATTCAATGAAAATTAAAGGTTACTGCATGTAGGAATTACAATTTGAGGCGTATTTACTATATGGTGGAGTCCTGTCCTCAGTGGTTAGAGCACTTGCCTCGCAAGTGAGAGTCCTGGGATCGATTCCCAACAAGGGAAAACCTTGGGCAAGTTTCCTTACTCCACACACCTAATAATAATCCCTCATGAAGAAAAAAACAATAATAAATTAGTCACTTCAATCCACGACTGTTTGTGGGACACTGCTGTGCGCAATTGGCTGCCGTGTTTTGCCCACAAATATGCAGTAGATTCACTTTACTTTTATTTATTAATTAATTTATTATTTAATTAAATTAATTGATTTATTATTTCATTTAATTCGGGTATGAAATGCTGTACACTGTCCAGCGCCTTGGGAAGTCCTTCCGACGTGAAAGGCGCTATACAGATATAATCTTGTTGTTGTTTACAGTATATTCTGTGAAGCACTTTGAGATGTCTAGAAGATGTGATAAGGCACTATATCAGATGCAAGGATTATTATTATTATAAATCACTATAAAGTTAGAGAAATATTTAATATTAGCTGTACTCGATGCAGCTTTGCTTGCAACCAAAGGATCCGCTATGGAATGTAGATTGAAAGATAGACAGCAGCCTCCGGCCTGCTTCACGTCCCCCGCCTCGCTCGCCCCACCATTGGCAGGTGAGCCTTCTGCCACTCTGTCCCCACCCTCTGGAACTCCATCGCACAGTCCCTCTGCCTCGCCCCCTCCCTCGCCTCCTTCAAGACCCATCTCAAGACCCTCCTCTTCGACCGTGCTTTCGATCTCCCTGCTTCCCCCCCTGCCCTCCACCTTCCCCGACCCCGCGCTTGGGACCAAATCTCTGTCTGTGCAGCACCTTGGGACGTCCTCCCAACGTGAAAGGCACTTTACAAATGTAATTTTTTTTTTGTTATCTATAATCAGCTGGGAGGACTCCTTTTGGAGGACTCAGTAGGACTCAGTAGGAGGACTCCTGTGGGAGGACTCCTATCAAAGCTACTGTAACTGAAGGGGTTTACTGTGTGATTCGGCAGTTCCTTGAGTTATTGCAAGGCTTCTGTTTAGATTACATTTGCAATTTTTCCTCCTTCGGCCATGATTTACAGGTTTTGAGATGAACCCACATGTGAGCATACAACATAGAACTGTCTATTAGAAAAGCAGGGTGTATTCAAGAGGAGGCCAACAACCTTTCATCTCTGCCCATGCCTTGATAATTAACATGGCAAAGCACATTCGAACAGGGAATTGGAGCCTTTTGAATTCAAACGGGTAGTCACTTGGGAGCTGTGGGATGCAAGGAATGAATACATCTTCCCTTTTGAACTGACCAGTCAGAAGAGTTACTTCTACAATATGTGGCATCAACTGCTTTACCACCAAACTTGTGCCATTGCATTGCTTCGGTGCATCTTGATTAAACAGTAGCTTGATTTGTTGCAGAGTATATATCTTAGTACAGCTGCATCTCTTTAGAAGGGTGTGCGATTTCCTCTGCAGAATACCATACATACCTCATACTTTGAGGCCTAATTAAAGCATTTTTTAAATATAACTCATCAACAATAGGAGATCTGAAAATAAAATGCCAATGACACTCCCATCTGCAAGACCTTTCCGATTAAGTATAAATCATGTCTCTACGTCAATCGGTTATTGAGTTATTGGCGGAAACACAGACACACAGTGACACTTCATCTTTATTAGTATAGATTTAGTTTGGAATTTCCAGGCTACATTTGATTTGTGATTACTCCAGATGATAGATTTAAATTTGTACATTATTCTCATTGTATTGTAACTGGCAAAGATTTTCTTGCATTTCAGGTTTCAGAACAGAAGATAATCTCATGTCAGATTCAAAACAACTGGTTTTGTTTGTAAGACTGACTGAACCCTATCATGACATTTAGACAGATTAAAAGCAATGGCATTGCACTTGTGGCATTTCAATTTTCAGAACACAATATAACATATCAGAATAAAAACAAGTTGCATTTATATAGCACTCTGGAGCCTGGGTAGTCTCTTGGAGTCTGATGCTGAACCAGGGGGAGGTGACTGTAGGCATACTCAAAAAGGAAGATCTTAAGGCGTGATCTAAAAATGGGATGGGGGAGGGGACAAGGTGAAGGCGGTGAAGGATTGAAGGAGAGAGTTCCAGAGTTTCATAGCGTAGTGGATTAAAGCACTGCTGCCGATGGTGGAATGGAAGGAATGAGAGAAAAGCAGGAGGCTAGCCGAGTCGATGTGGCGGGTGGTGGCGTGGGGAATAAGCAGGTCGGAGAAATAGAGAGGTGCCAGGGTGTGAAGGGATTTGTAGACGAGTATGAGGATCTTGAAGTCGATCTGTTCTGTGATAGGGAGCCAGTGGAGCCTGGCGAGGACTGGTGTGATGGGAGTGGTTTACTTTGTTGCCTCTAACGGTTTCTCTTCCAGTCCCTGCACCGTCACATCTGGCGTCCCCCAGTGCTCTGCCCTTGGCCCTCTCCTCTTTAATATCTACATGCTCCCCCTTTGGTGACATCATCCGCAGACATGGGGTCAACTTCCATATATATGGATGACACCCAACTCTATCTTTCTGCCTCCACCCTCAACTCCAGGACCACTGCTGTCCTGACAGACTGTCTGTCGGACATCAAGTCCTGGATGAGGACAAATTTCCTACAGTTGAATGTGAGCAAGACTGAGGCCCTCCTGCTTGGCTCGCGCCAGCGCCTCAGCACCTCAGGCTCTGGCAGCATCAACCTCCATGGTTGCACACTACAACTCACCATAGCCAGTCAGGATCCTGGGTGTCTTGTCAGGCTGCAAAAAACCCTCAACCAATCATTCGTCACCTCAAGACTTGATTACGGGAACTCCCTCCTCATCGGCCTTCCCAACCCTTCCCTTCACAAGCTGCAGATCATCCAAAACTCTGCAGCTCGTGTACTCTCGTGCACCAGGCTCCGCAACCCCATCACTCCCACCCTCACCCAACTCCACTGGCTCCCCATCCCCCAGAGGCTCGAATTCAAGATCCTCGTCCTCATCTTTAAGGCTATCCATGGCCTTGCCCCCTCCTACCGTTCTGATCTGCTGACTCCCTACAAGCCTGCCCGCTCCCTCCTTTCGTCAGGCTTCGGCCTGCTCCATGTTTCCCGCCCAACCCACCCTACCATCGGTGGCTGGGCTTTCAGCCTCTCTGCCCCCACACTCTGGAACTCCATCCCACGGTCCCTTTGCATCACTTCCTCCCTTGCCTCCTTCAAGGTCGGTCTCAAGATCTTTCTCTTCGACCGTGCCTTTGGTCTCCCTCCCACCTCTCTGCCTTCCCTCACCCCTAGACCACACCCCTCCCCCATGCTCGGGCCCCGACACCCGACTGTTCAGCGCTTTGGGACGTCCTCCCGACTTGAAAGGCGCTCTATAAATGTAATTTTGTTGTTGTTATTGTTCAACCCTCAACTGTCTTTTCTTCCCCACATCCAAGGCATGACCCGCTCTGCCTTCCCTCACCTCCGTAACATTATCCGACTCCACTACCTTATCCCTCAGGCCACTGAAACTCTCGTTCGTGCCTTCATCACATCCAGGCTCGACTATGCAAACTCCCTGCTTGACGGCCTTCCCAACTCCTCCCTCCATAGGCTGCAAATAATCCAGAACTCTGCAGCCCGTGTCCTCTCCCGCACTAAACTCTGTGATCCTATCTCCCCCATTCTCGCCCAACTCCATTGGCTTCCCTATCCATCAGAGGATCCAGTTCAAGATCCTGATCCTCACCTACAAAACCCTCCATGGCCACCCTACCTCTGCAACCTCCTAACCCCCTGCCAACCCGCCCACTCCCTCCGCTCAGCCGGCTCTGGCCTGCTCCATGTCTCCCGACCCAGGTGTTTGAATAGTTGAGTTGGTAAGTGACGAAGGCATGGATGAGGGTTTCAGCTGCAAGGCTTTGTCCTTTTTGTAAGATTGGATATCTGCACTCATGACATTTAGAAAGATTAAAACCAATGATGATGACTTGGATAGTTTCAACAGGTAATTAGCCATGCCTGGGTCTGTGAAACATTTGGATATGCAGAACCTGTTGGGCATGTGCTGAAAGCTAACACCGAGCCCTGGAGTATACATAAAGCACAAAAAGTTAAAAGTATATAATGAAATAATTTGGCCAATTGTGTGTCTGTACTAGTACAGTACTAGTCCACCTTTTTTAAAATGCTGTTCTGGACTCAGTTTCAAGTCATTTGTAGGAAAGAATTCTGAATTCCAAGAATCTCCCAACTTTATGTACTGTCCCGCACCAGGCTTCGCGATCACATCACTCCCACCCTCGCTCGCCTCCACTGGCTCCCCATCCCCCAGAGGATTGATTTCAAGATCCTCATCCTCACCTACAAGGCCATTCACGGCCTTGCTCCCTCCTACCTCTCCGACCTACTATCCCCCTACCTACCTGCCCGTACCCTCCGTTCCTCTGGCTCCGGTCTGCTCCACGTCCCCCGCCCCAACCGCCCTACTATCGGTGGTCGGGCCTTCAGCCTCTCAGCCCCAGGCTCTGGAACTCCATCCCCCAGTGCCTTCGCCGCCTCCTCCCTTTCCTCCTTCAAGGCCGGTCTCAAAACCTTTCTCTTTGGCCGTGCCTTCAGCTCCCCTCTCGACTCTCTTCCTCCTCCTCGCTCCCTCCCTTCCCTCCCCTCACCCTGACCATTTCCCCCCTCCTCTCTCCCTCCCTTCCCTCCCCTCACCCTGACCATTTCCCCCCTGCTCGGGTCATGACCCAACTGTGCAGCGCCTTGGGACGTCCTCCTGACGTGAAAGGCGCTCTATAAATGGAATCTTGTTGTTGTTGTTGTTGTTATTTTGCGATTTTTAATAAAAAAAGGTTTTCTTCCTTTTGTGGACCACTTAATAATATTAATTCTTGCTTTTGATATAGTGTCTTATCACATCTCTTAAACACCCCACAGCCCTTCACAGAATATACTATAAGGTGAATTGACAGACTGTACCACAGAACCATTCAAACTTATGGCACAGAAGATGACTTTATAGCTTTAAAGATGGGGAGGGTGGGTGCAAGCAAAGGGTCTTCGAGATGGAGCTCCAAAGGGTTTGGGTAGACTAAAAAACAATGTTGGGCCATTAAAAAAAAATGAAAGCTTGCCCACTGATGAGTGGATTGAGCCAATAAAATAAAATCCATTTGGTTCACTGTATGTTGTCATGTATAAAATAGATTCAAGTTAGCTTTAAACATGACGTAGATGGATATATTTATTTCCCTTATTGGAAGATTTAATTTTTAAAAATACAGTTGATGGAACCAGAAGCTATTTTGGAAAAAATATAAAAATAAGATAATTCAGCAATCGAACATGTTTCTATTTCAAGACCTGATCTTACAATATTTCAGACTTACCTTAAAATGGAACATATTCTTAGCTACAGTTCCTGAGTGCTTTTTCAAGAAAAACCCCACCATTTGCAGCAATGGTAAAGTTCACAGCAGTGTTTATTGAAACACAACCAGTCACATAAAACAGCGATGTTATATGAAATTCTCTTGCATTTCAAAAAGGCATTTTTCAGTTATTACAAGTTTAGGGAAAAATTTCCATCCAGAAAATATTCAATTACAATAATATCCTTTAATAGTTCGTCAAGTTCAAAAATAAAGCAAGCATATATCATTCAGTAGTCTTACCATTCAAACACAACTTTGCTACAGTGTAATGTAATGCAGTGTATTTAACTATAACCGAACAAATTAATCAATTTGAAACACTATATTTGAGGCCTTTTAATGAAACAAAGTGGTCAAATCAGTGCTGCTTACAAAAAGCATTTTCTCCTAAACTTTCATTTGTATGAAATTAATTACAAAGTTTTTGGTCTGAATGTACAAACACATAAACGTCTTTATTCAAGAATTTCCCTTTATAATAGCCCTGCCCAGATATTTAATACATTATGAATCGAGAATTAATGTACATATCCTATAAAAATACATTACGACCGGAGTTTGTATATTCCCTGACACTACAAAATTCACGCAGAATTTCAACATTGCAATATCTGTAAACTTTACTTTCAGAATCTAACATTTTATGAGTTACATCAAAGCAACTGTTTTTGGCAGTTTTAGATACAGTAGATAACTTTCACCTCATTTAGAATGCGTCCACAAAAGGAGACACCCAGTGCAATCAAGCTATTCATTTCCCGAGTCATTTTCATTTTATTGCATTGTATTTACAGCAGTAGGCCAAGAGCATCTCTCTCTAAATCAAAAGTTTGTTTCTTTAAACGTTCTCTACCAAGAGGAAAAGAAGGGTTTTCTGCAATGAAAAGTCTGGGTAAAGGCATTGCTCAAGTGGACTATTCTGCCTTGGCTTCCAGATTGACTTCTTTCCACAATCACACGAGGCATCTGGACGAGTTGAATAGGGCTTTTGCCATCTTTAAGTGCCTGAGTAAGGTTTAAAATCTAAACATAGAAACAAAAGAAAGGTCTAAAATAAGCAATTGATAAACTGATAAGCAATTTAACCTACGGCAATAGGTGGAGGAGAAATGGGAGGAGGCCTGCTCAGAAACAAAATGTACTCTTGCTAAGTTGACAAATGAAATTGCTATAGTAATCTTGCAAAACTCATAATAATTTAAAGGAAGAAGTAGCAGAAACCTTGTTTCAAGACCAGGATCTAATGAGGAATGGGGAACACATGCATTCTGCAGTTTGGTTGAAATAAGTGGTTTACTTCAGTGATTTAGTTTTTGGATGTTTTCAATTTTCTCTCCTCCAACCCCTTATCAAGATATTTTCATTAGTAGTGTCAGTCCTCTGACAACCAAGTGGCATTTAAAACATCTCTGTGCGTCACAAGCATTTCGCTCCCATAAGCCCTGCAAGGCAAAGTCCCAACAGGTGGCATGGTCCAAGCTGGACAAGCAGCAGTGAGCTTGTCAGACAGTGTGTGCAATGGCAAGTTGCAATTTTAGCTGATTAAACTAACTAAATACACACTTTGGCTCTTGCCTACTTGCGCCTAATATTTTCTGGAATCGGGTAAGCAGATCTGCCCGTCTGAGGAAAGAGTGAGCACATTGTTTCATATAGAAAAATGTCCATGTATATGTGAAACTCTGTCTGGTTTTGATAGTCCTAAGCATGGAGATGGATTTGCACACCAGACACCTGACACCCAAACCAAATGGCAAAGAAGCATGTTCAAGTTACCTGGCCTCTCATTACTGACATTTGCAATTCAAAAGTAGCTTTGTCAAATCCTTTATCAGTCTGGAATAGAAAGAAAAACATCATCGGTATTACCAATTCCATTGGAAATCATTTCCACTCATTGGAAAGCATTAGATATCTCACCAGAAATTCTAAAAGCAAAAACTAAAGGTCTTAATTTCCAATAAAGTGCTTGTCAGCCAAATGACTAGTCAATGATTCCAGAAAATTAATACCAACATGGTTTTTGCATGTTAAACTAATAATTTTTGGTATCATCTTCCTGATATTTTGATACATTTCACAAGAATAAATGTGGAAGTTGTCTTTCAACCTAGGCAGGAAATGGCCCCCCCGTGAAAAAGTACATGAATCTGTTAGCCATCGTTATGTATGAGTAAAAATCCTTCTATTCCTCTGCACCATTTTATTTTGTCAATATTTCATCGTTTTTGCACCTTCTCCTCTCCCAAAGATGTCGACACGTTTGGATATGGTTCCATGACGTCCTCCCATACTTTCATGGATCAAAAGTGCCCATTCTTCAGGTGACCCCAGATAATGTATTAACAAGCTATTTAATCATGCAGCCACCAGAACCAAGTTCTTTCCTGACCCAATAACGTGCACTTTCCAGAAGTGGGGGGTGTCCACGGGATATTTATTTATCAGAAAACTTGATTGTTTCCCTTCCTAAGGTTAAAGGTAACTGCCCTTTACCCACCTCATCTTGATTCAGAATGTTTAATTTCAATGAATTGAAGCTTCACAAATATGAAGTTCAGTTCTTTGTGTATATTTTAAAAGGATAAAAAAACAAGTCGATGGGAACAGCAACAGCTTTGTGAGTCCTCATAACGTTAAATATGAAAGATGAATCAACAACCAACCGATCTGCAGCAAGACTCAAAATCATTTCTGCTGCCTACCTTATCAACTGTCACTAGTTGATATATGAATGCACTGTATAAAAAAACATGCATTATTTTAGTGAGGAATTGTGTTTACATAACCAGTAACCAGAATGTCATTTGAATAAAATTAACCTGGAAATGTCTGCATAAATATTCCTGCCTTTACTATGTACATAGAATAAACTAAACCAACCTTAAACAGTTCATAGAGATCTTCACAAAGGTCCTGCACAAAATTCATATCTGAAATTCGAGGAAGAACAAAGTCTCGCGTCTCCTGTGTAAAAGGAACTTTGGCTTGAAGAAGCCAGGCCCAGTGAAATGGATCTGTTGAAGCAGACAGAATATTGAGCTCCCACATAGACAATAATGTATCGTAGTGATGGTTATTTTAAAGAAAAAAGAAATTGTGATCATATACTAGCTAAATTCAATTTAGCCAAGTCGTGCATAACAATAGCTCTACATCATTAAGATTCTCCATTGACCCAGAAACACAATATTGTAGTTAGAAAAAAAAATCACATGAGTTTTGAAGGCAACACATGTCAAAACAAAGTATATAGCAGATTATGTGCATTAAAACAAAGCAAGCACAACAACCAGAAATCTCCATAATGCATTTATCCACATAATTAGATAGAAAAGGCAACTGAGTGACACTCTTGGTGTCACATTATTGTCCCTAATTAGAATTTTATGTTTTAATAGCTAAAGGCAGTCTGGGAAACATGCGTACTATCCTGTACTGACACAAAGATTTACTTCAGTGAAAGAAAGTGACCTTATTACAGTATATAAACTCCTTTGAAGCATAGTAACAAATAACTGAGGGAATCATGTAAAAATAAAAATTAAGCCTATATTTAATGAACTTATCAATTATGGGTCTTTAATGTTGAACACGTTTCTACCTTCCAGCAGCATTATCAAAAATTTTAGAACAATACTCATCTCTACTGCCTTAATCTCAGTGACACAAGAGCACCAATCTTCTGAGGATCAACACTCAATTAAAGTGGGTTAAGGAATATCCAAACACATTCTAGTTAGGAACCTTCCAATCACAAAAGTGTTAAATCACAACACATGTTGAATCCATGTCAACGGGAAATAACTTATTTAACCCAAACATGTGAAATGGTCATCAACAAAGCAAATTAAATACTAACTTACATCTAAAGGGCATTTGATGAAGTCTAAATAAGTTATGCCAACTATGTTTAGATTACTGGTGATGTCAAATCTAGTTTTGGGTACCCTACCTTCAAAAGGACATCGGAGAAGGTTCTGAGAACGGTGACAAGGATGATTCCACGACTTAGGGCTCTAAGTTATGAGGAGAGACCTGCAGAGCTGAACGTGTTCTCATTGGAGAAAAGAAGATTGAGAGGGGACATGATCCAGGTCTTTAAAATGCGGAGGCATAGATGATATAGACGTAAACAGGCTATTTGATTTAGATAGTGAGCATAAAGTTAGAAAACAACAAGCCTCCAACGAGAGTACAGATTAGATTTATTTTTTCCTACCAAGTAGAGGATTTGTGGATCACACTTCTAGCAAAAATATTTAAAGTTTGGTCAATTAACTTATTTAAAAAAAGGAGTTGGATAAATATCTAGTGGGAAACACAAAGAGGGATTATAAGGAAAGGTTTACACTGAGATGGTGTGTGTAAGAGGGGAGCATGTCAGGAATTAATAATGGGAGAGGGGAGGATAGATGAATAGGAGATTTGCATAAAAAGCTTTAGGGAGTAGGGACTTTGATAGGATTATCTATCATGAGATTAAAAGGGAGAGGGGAAGAGGAGGGGTAAGGTCCATGTTGGGGTACCTTGTAGGAGGAAGGAGCAGGCTTGAAGGGCCAATAAGGCAGTACATTAAGCTGTACCACCACCCAGTCTGTAACACTTCCATAATATAACACTTAGCATTGTGTAATTATACTTCCTTCCTCCAAATAATGCACAACTCACTTTCCTCCAAATATATACTCAAACACCTGCAAAGTGCATACATATGCCAGATATGCTATTTTGGGGCTGTCAAATATATTTATTACATTTTAAAAGACTCGGTTTGATTTCCATTCTCGACATTAGGCATTCTATTACCATGCATGACTTCCACTTTTGAAAAATGTAATAACAAAGAATCCAACTTTACTTAGTATCACATCATGTCTAGATCTCTGCTATAGCTGAATTATCTTGGTATGACTATCAAATAAATCACCCTCATGTATCCTCTCATAAAACCTTGCTACAAGTTGAAATATTGAAGAGACAATGATAAAGAGAATAAAGCCAGACTTAAATTCAAGGTAAAGTGAAATCTACAACGAAAGACTTTACTCAGGAGAAAAACAAATTTTCTCTATTAAAGATGGCACAGTGGAAATTTCCTGGTAAAGACAGTCAATAGCTGCACCTGGTTTGTTTTTATTGGTAATATGTCCTTATTAATGAATTTAGGATTTTGTTTCAAATGTAAAAAATACATGAAAACATACCTTAAATAATAAGATATTCTGATTACTGAGGTAGCTATAAGATCACCATTTAATAAATCTGGCATAACTGAAATTCACCATGTTTTGCTGTGTCACCTTGACTCAGGTGGTAGCTTATTCACCTCTGAATAATAATAATAATCGTTGCATTTGAAAAAGTGCCTTATCACGTCTTCGAGACGACTCAAAGCGCTTCACAGAATATACTGTAAAGTGAATTGACTGTTTATTTTGTGTGTGAAACGCTGCAGCCAATTGTGCACAGCAATGTCCCACAAACAGTCGTGGATTGAGTAACCAATTTATTATTTTTTTTGAAGGAATTATTACCCCTGGAAAAGCGATCCGCCAATCAACTAACAACCGGGTTCCTACTTACTGCTAGGTAAACAGAGGCTTGTGGATTAAGGAAACTTGCCCAACATTTTGCCCTGTGAGAAAAGAGCCCAGGTCTCTCACTTGCGAGGCGAGCGCTCTAACCACTGGGCTACAGGGCTCCAGGATGGATCACAGCGGGTCTCGGAGGTCATTCGACCAGTGCAGCGTCTCCCCCCCACTCATAACTGTTGTTAGGACTTGAGGAGAGTTGGGACCTAGAACGTCTTCATTGTAAAACATGCAGATATCCTGGCTGCTGGAAAATGGGAATCATCGCTGCGGGAACCTTAACTTTACCCTTATACATATTTTATCAAAAAAAACCCTCTCAATAAAGCCAGGCGCACACACTGATCACTGACTGACACACGCTAGTTAATCTGGGGAGTCGCTCACTTATAATAATACTTACATTTGATATAGCGCCTTGAGGTGGAATATTCAAAGAAAGAAAACAAGTTGATGATCGGCACAATTTCTGGGTTGTCAACCTCCCCTTTCCTCCCCTCCTCCCCCACCACCATATATACACACACACCATACATGCAAGCGCGCATATAAGGTAGGAAAGACCTCTTGAGGTAAGCCTGGTGTAGCTCAGGCTCGGATAGTGAATGCTTTCGCCACTGCAGTTGGTCACCGATCGACCATTAAGTGCTACATGCTCTCAAGCAGACTAAATTCTGAAGCAAGGGTCTAACCTTAATTGACAGGGTATCAGCAACACCCTCCCCCGCCCCACCACCTAATCAAGACTAACAGACTCAGTCTAGGTTGACAAGAGTGCTCTACTGTTGGGAGAGTTGGTTTTTGGATCAGACAGGTCTGCTTTCTTTTTAGGTGAATATTAAAGATTTCATGACACTGTTAGGAAAGAGTGATTGTGGTGATAAATTCATGAATTGATTATTCACCTCATGGCCATTTGTGGGATCTTGCTGTGCATAAAATGGCTGCCATATTTGTCTTAAATAAAGCTCACCCCATTTGACAACAATTACTGTAATGCATTTTTGAAGCATTTGATGAGATAAGATGCCAGAAAACAGCAAATTATTCATTAAAACAGTCAATGCTGGATGACGATGAAATGAACCTCAGCTGTGATAACACCCCCCACCCCATGTTGATTCAATCAACTAAACAAACCATGAAAAAACAAGAGTATAAAGGAATTTCTGAACACAAGTAGAACTTTATCTAGGAAAGAAAAAAATATCATTGGGGAGCAGAAAATTGGTAGAAATCCCTTCCCCAAAGTATCAAATCCTTGGAGACTTGATTTATTTCGGATAAACAGTTTCCGTTCTAAATGGATGGAATATTCTGAAAACCTTGTCACCCACTCTAAATGCAAACTGCATCAGCCAGTTACAATTCAACACACTCATTATTTTAATTAGTTGAGACAAAAAATATGATTGCAAAAAGAGTCTAGGTCAAGGTAAGTTGTTACTTTTTTACGGTATGTCCTATGAGAGCTCGAATTCATCACAAGCAAGTCATACAGAAGTGAATAGAAATGTATCTTGAATCAAACTATATATAGCTGGATTCACTCCTTTTCTAAGCACTTTGAAGTAATTAGATACAACACTAATAACTCCCATATCAACCTGTCCGCTCCTTCCGCTCAGTAGGCTCTGGCCTGCTCCGCGTCCCCCCACCACCAACGGCGGTCGGGCCTTCACCCTCTCTGTCCACCATCCGCTGAAATTCCATCCCATATTCCCTTCGTCTCTCTCCCTCTCTTGCCTCCTTTGAGGCATGTCTCAAGACCATTCTCTTCGACCGCGCCTTCGGCCACCCTCCTTTCCCCGCCCTCCCTAATCCCCAAACCCTGCTCGAGCCCAAATCCCTGACTGGCCATCACCTTGGGACGTCCTCCTGATGTGAAAGGCGCTATTCAAATGTAATTTTGTATTGTATTTCATTATGAAATGAGAACATATGTTCATTTTGGTTACTTTTTCTCATAATATTGCACTATAGGTACTGAAGTCCGATGATATTCACTATCAGGATGTCTCCATTGATAGTTTGGGGAGAGGGTGAGTGTAGATCAACAATTTAAAAACTAACCCATCACCAATGCATCTGCCTATCCAAGTTGTGCAATAGAATAAAGAAGGATCTCAAGTGAAATGTGAGAGCATTTGAGTGATAAATGGAGATCCTCTAAAGGTGAAAAATGTTAGTGGATTTGCTGTGGATACAGGATTTATAGTCACATTCACAACAATTTTCTGCTTCAGAAAAATCACATGAATCTATTTGTCTAGCCAACCCGAGATGCAATAATCTATGAAAGAATTAAACAATATGGAGATACTTTGAAATCAATCAATCTTTGCAAAGCTTCAAAAGGATTTCCATTTTTTGGATTTTTTTAATTCAGTTCACTCATTTGGAGATTTTTTGATAGAATTCAAAATATTTTTGTGCCAATTAATGGTTAAAATAAAACCTGACTGTGTTTAACAGTTTAGCCATGTAGCTATTAATAAATATCCATAAAATCAGATTTTTCAAACATTAACTGTATAAACAAGTCAACTTAATATTTGAGCTACCTAGATGTAGATTAGAAAGGTGTGGAATCAAACAACCACTAATAAATTGCAATTACCCCTGCAGGTTACTGGTTACATGTCCAATTGAGACCACTCAACTATAGAGGGGCAGGTCTGTGAGAACATCAACAACATCTGTTTGCTCTTCAACGAGCAACAATGCCATGCATTACTGCAGACCCATCTTTACCCAGATGAGCCACTTATCAAAACCACTTCAACACCAATCTTGACTCCACCCCAAGATATGGAACCAATTTTATTTATTCTGAAACGGTGAAGGACTGAGTTAGACAGCAATTTAGCCACCAACTCTTTTAACATTAGAAAACAAGCATCCCATTTTGGTGTTCTGTGTACGTGCCAAGGTGCACGTGTGCAAATTGATGAATGGGGTAATTATATTTTTGTTCTGTCCTAATTCAAAGTGATGTTGAGTTGGAAGTATAGATCTGACTTTCTATTCTACTTAGCTGCCAGGAGGAAAGCCACTTTGCAGCACAAAATGTTTCAATAGTCTTGTATTAGCAAGTGACAATTCTATATGCCCCCACTTGGTGACATCATCCACAGACGAGGGTCAACTTCCACATGTATGTGGATAACACCCAACTCTACCTCTCTGCCTTCCCCCCTCGAATCCAGGACTGCTGTCCTCAGATTGCCTGTCGGACATCAAGTCCTGGATGAGAGCTAACTTCCCTTCTGGCCCTCCTGCTTGGCTCCTGTCAGGACCTCCATACCTTGGGTGCTGGTGGCACCTCCCATCATGGACGCACTCTACACCTCACGGAGCCAATACGGAACCTTGATGTCCTGTTCAACCCTCAACTGTGCTTCATACCCCAAATCCGTGCCATGACCTGCTCCACCTTTCCCCACCTCTGCAACATTGCTTGGCTCCGCCACTGTCTCAGACCGCAGGCCGCTGAGCCCCCTCATGCACGCATTCTAAACATCCAGACTTGACTACGCAAACTCACTGCTTGTCGGCCTCCCCAACTCTTCCCTCCATAGGCTGAAGATCATCCATAATTCCTCAACCCATGTCCTCTCCCGCACCAGGGTCTGTGATCCTATCACTCCCAACCTCGCCCGACTCCACTGGCTTCCTATCACACAGAGGATACAGTTCAAGATCCTGGTCCTCACTTTCAAAGCCCTCCATGGTCTTGCCCGCCGCTACTTCTGTGACCTCCTAACCCCCTACTATCCTGCCCGCTCCCTCTGCTCAGCGGGCTCCGGCCTGCTTCACGTCCCCCGTCTCGCCCACCCCACCGTTGGCAGGCGGGCCTTTAGCTACTCTGCCCCCACCCTCTGGAACTCCATCCCGCAGTCCCTCCACCTCACCCCCTCCCTTGCCTCTTTCAAAACCCATTTCAATACCCTCCTCCTCGACCGTGCCTTTGGTCACTCTCCTTCCCTCACTGCCCCCCCACCCTCCCTGATGCTTACCCCCAGCTTGGGTCCAAAACACTGATTGCTCAGTGTCTTGGATGTCCTCCCGACATGAAAGGTGCTATACAAATGTAATTTTGTTGTTGTAGAGCTCAACAGCTCACTCAGTCACAGAAATCTTGGTATAGCAGAACATTCTGCGTATGTGTGTGTGTGAGGGGGAAAATAAGAATGCGTGGGTAGGGTGATGATAAAGGATAGGGAAGAAGGAACTTGCATCATAAGCAAAACATTTCACAAGATGTAATAAGAGGAAATATGTAAAATATATTAGAATTTTAAAGATACAACAATAATAATCCTAAATAAACAATACTAGTAATAGCTCTTCAGTGATTTCACAGCACATTAGACTGTACACAAGTGGGAACACCGCCAATTGTACTTACAGGCTCTCCACTCATCAGGATGCTTAAATGGAAAAGCTAATCCATTGTCGATAGCCGCTATTTTAACAGCAGGTTCTTTGCTATCTGCCCATTCAATGTCCTATTAAACAGAATAGGATTTTAACGGTTATTAAACGGAAAAACAAATGATGGAGGAGAATTTTACAAATCATAAATTGGTTTTATAGGTTTTAAACAAATCTATACAGCAAAAATTTGGTTCAGAATTGAGTACAAAGTCAGTTATGTTAATTGACTTTGACTAAACAATCTTAAATAATGGTACTGACTCATGCTTTTAACATCACTTTTACAGACAAAATACCAATTACAGGAATTAATGAGTCATTTTAATACATTTTGCTTCTGCTGCCAAATTGATGTTCGTCTCTAAACTATATAAGCCAAGACTAATATTAGTCTTCAGCACATAATCAAATTATACATGCCCAAATGTCTAACTGGCTTGAGTCAATATTAATAATTTGTTGCATTTTTTTTCAATCGACATAAATCATCCAATTTAAACACAGAATCACCTAAGTGAACAAACACCACAGTCCTTCAGAAGAACCGAGTGGATTTGAATCTGGTAAGCATTCTATTTTGCACACAAATTGCAGATAATAAAACTCAAGTAGTAATGCTTTCTGGGAGCTATGTTACACAAACCACGCAGCAACATATAACTTGGATGCTGCTTTTGTCTGGGATATAATACATTATGAAAAATTAACAAGGTGAATGTCCAGCAGTCTACCTTGTCAGGAGATTCCCTTCTGGTTTCTGGCTTCTCGTACTTAATTAACCAGTTGTCATTTCCTCTATCTGAGGAAACAAAAAACAAGTCACAGAGCTGCTAAGTACCGTTGACACAATAAGTTTTAATATGATACAGGAATGTGAAGGTCAACAATCCAGCCAGCTAGCTAACAATCAGCACAATAACAGTTTCATGCAGGAGTAGATTATTGGTCCATTTAGTCTACCCATCCATCTTCCCAGAAAATAATTTTGACATCTAACAACCCTGACACCCTTTGATAAACCCTTTAATCTAGGAATTTCAGTCAGTCCCTTTTTGAAACCCCTTCAATTAATGTCCTGTTATTGATAAAGGGTTTCAACTATGTCAGTATTTATTACACCAGCTCGTGAAATGGTCTGTAGGTTAACTAAAAGGAAAATTTGGTATGGAATTAAAACATTTTAATTTGTTGTCAGACATATTTTGACATCAGCGTCTTTCTGCAGAAATATTTTTAAAAATGCTCTTCTCAAAAGGTCTAAATATTTTTTGAAAACAGATAGAATCAGAGGTTGGTAGCCAGGATCTGGGTGAGGTGAGCTATACAATAGTTTCATTAGATTTCCTTTTTGAGGAAAAGGAGGAGAATGTAATGTATTTTGCTTCATTATCAAATATTGATATCACCATATGCAAGAAATTTGATGATGTGTCTTGGATATAGTTATTAATTTATTACAAACACTGACAGTTTTGAAATTAATTTCAGAAATGATATATATGGTATAATACACAGAATGGGGGTCTTTTCAACACCACTGAACATATCTAGGAAAAAGTATACCCACACCCATTTTTTCTTCACGAAAAATGGGGGAAAAGGAATGGGAGAAATATTTAAACACTCTCCCCATCACCCATTTTTGTTCTATTTATTTTATTGCTTTAGTTACTATTGTTTTTTCTTGTAACTTGTTCTTACAACAATAAACAACATGCATTACCTGATGTATTTTTATTTAAAATCTTTATTTCTTTAAATAAAAACACACCAGGTAACAGATTTTTTTTTAAAACTGTCTTTTCTCCTCACGGAGTTCCTTGTGGGCACCATTTACTAGTAACGGTGTAATTTATGCCCTTTGTACTGTGGAGATTTAGAACGAACAAAACAGATTGATAATTCTCACTAAAAATGATTCTTGCCAAGATGACTTTGGCAAGAACAACTAAACATTTTAATTCATTGTTGTCAAACACTTTAGTCTCTCAATTATTTAGAATCAACTGGAGTAAAAGTGGTTCCAGAAATAAACAAGATTACATTTGTATAGCGCCTTTCACGTAGGGAGGACGTCCCAAGGCCCTGGACAGTGTACGGCATTTCAGACCCGAGCTGGTGTCAGGGGAGGAGAAGGGAGGGGAGAGGAAGGGGGAGGCCGATGGCATGGTTGAAGAGGAGGATTTTGAGGCGGGACTTGAAGGAGCCTAAGCAGGGGGTGAGACGGAGTGACTGGGGGATGGAATTCCAGAAGTTGGGGGCAGAGTGGCTGAAGGCTCTCCCGCCAATGGTGGGGCGGGTGGGTTGGGGGACGTGGAGCAGATCAGAGCCGGCTGAGTGGAGGGAGCGGGCGGGTTGGCAGGGGGTTAGGAGGTCCCAGAAGTAGAGTTGGGCGAGACCATGGAGGGCTTTGTAGCTGAGGACCATTATCTTGAACTGGATCCTGTGAAGGATAGGGAGCCAATGGAGTCGGGCGAGAATGGGGGAAAATGGGGTCACGGAGTTTGGTGCGGGAGAGAACATGGGCTGCAGAGTTCAGGATTATCTGCAACCTGTGGAGGGAGGAGTTGGGAAGGCCGACAAGCAGGGAGTTTGCCTGGAGGTGATGAAGGCATGAACAAGAGCTTCAGTGGCCTGAGGGGTGAGGTAGTAGCAGAGTCGGGCGATGTTACGGAGTTGAGGGAAGGCAGAGCGGGTCATGGCTTGGATGTGGGGAAGAAGACAGTTGAGGGTTGAACAAGACACCCAGGTTCCTGACTGGCTATGGTGAGTTGTAGTGAGCAACCATGGAGGTTGATGCTGCCAGAGCCTGAGGTGCTGAGGCGCTGGTGTGAGTCAATCAGGAGGGCCTCAGTTGTTCACATTCAACTGTAGGAAATTTGCCCTCATCCAGGACTTGATGGGTGTCATCCGCATACATATTGACCCCAAGTCTGCAGATGATGTTACCAAGGGGGAGCATGTAGATATTAAAGAGGAGACACACAGTGACACTCGTCTTTATTAGTATAGATTTAGTTTGGAATTTCCAGGCTACATTTGATTTGTGATTACTCCAGATGATAGATTTAAATTTGTACATTATTCTCATTGTATCGTAACTGGCAAAGATTTTCTTGCGTTTCAGGTTTCAAAACAGAAGATAATCACATGTCAGATTCAAAACAACTGGTTTTGTTTGTAAGACTGAATGAGTTGGATGTCATCCGCATATGTCGTGGAGGTAATTTCAAAAATAAAGTTCAAAATATACATTCTATCCAAGTGATTCACATTATTTTAGGATTGATTCCAAACAAGGACTCACAAAGCGTGCAAGATTTTAAATCACTGCTAAAAACAAGGAAGTTTTGCTCCCTTTCTTCGTACCTTTAAAAGGATGTCTGAACTCACGTTTCAGAGTTTTTGAAAGTTTCAGGTTTTATACCTTAATTACTCTTTAGTTAATGTTAATATATTACAGTGATTGACCCAGTTAGAAAGTCTATATTATAATTTGAAAACTTAGCCTTTTACAATATTAAGTTACAAAACTTCTGAGTACAATCAACTTTGAGGCATATGCTAAATTATACCTTGTGGTCTGAACAACACATTATCTGAAAACCACACAAAATACCTCTTCTGAAAACCACAGAAAAAAACTGAATTCAATTTAAATAATTTTGAATGAGGAACTCGGTCAATAGTAAACTTGTAGTTCAACTCGGTTACATCTAGAAAGTCGTGACAGCCTGCCCCCTAAAAGGGACCAAGGACCATTTTACCCTACCATCTTGGGTGTGTTGGTCCAATCTGGAGTGATAAAGAGCCATGCAGGGCAATGTAAATAGAATTATCTTATTTATATTGCAGATCTGCCTCTGAAGGAAATCTTAGATATAAATGTGGCAAAAGAACAACTTTCATACTTAGCAACTTAACTTAGGGGATAGACTGCCACCTGGTGGAGTGAAAATTCACAGAAAGCATTGAAAATGTTTTCATAATTCAACACCGAGAAGGATACTCAGACCAGGAAACAACAACACAAACATGAAGGTGTATAAATTGGATTTTAACTCAATTTCCTAATTTATGGCAACCAACTTAATACCATAAAGCCAATGTAAAGAAATGTTTTGCTGCAATAATCAAATGAAATTAATTTGTATAAATAAATGTGTTGCTGTATTTTACAATAAAAAATACTGGGAAATGTTGTACATTGTCATGTTTGGCCTTCCGGTCACCAACTCAGTTTGTCCTCTGTGAGGACTGAAATAGAACAAGTTTAGTAGTTTAATTGATGAATGGCCTTATTTCTATCTTACGTTCTGATTTCCAAGTATTTTAAAGGAAAAATTTTATAAATTCCAAATAATGTAAAATCCAATGTTTCCCCAATTTCCATATCTTCTACACAGTTCTCCAGGTGACATAAATTATACGCTACAATATTTTCATCCAAACTTTAACCTCCTTAAATACTTGATACTTTGCAGGATGTTCACGTCTGGTAGGCAAAATGGGATAACTGCAAACCCAATTCTCTGCTACAGGATTATCCAGCAGCTTCATACAAAAATAAAAGATCACAGATTACTTCAAAATAACTCAATGTTTACATGTAGTCATACTTTAGTTTTTGAACCAGAGTCTCCACGTGGTGAGATTTAAACACTTGCCTGTATTCCTAATGATGTAATCTAAAATCACCAATCTCTCAAACTGAGATTGAAGCTGCTTGCGTGTATTTTCTGGTAAAGGGTCAGTTTCAAATTTCCGGAGCCAGTAGTCTGCTTCCTTATAACCTTCTACGAATAATTGGAAGGAGCCAACCTATTCAGGGAGAAAAAAATCTGTCAGATACATATACAAGGAATAATTGCTTTAGGTGTTGTTTTTCGTGTTTCTTAGTCCAAAGGTCTTCGCAGTTCTACAGGATTAGCAATGACATGGTAAGAGATTATATTTCATTTCCCCCTGAAAAACTACAGCCCTACATAGTGGTAATGTTGATCACACAATATTAAGCATCACTGCTCCAAGCATTTCAAACCAGAAAAAAAGCCTCAATTTAATTGAATATATTGATAATGATGCAGCCTCGCTTTTTTATAGTGCAAATTCAGTTATAATCACTGGTTAGGACATAGCTGGAGTACTGTGTCCAATTCTGGGCAGCACACTTTAGGAAGGATGTCAGGGCCTTGGAAAGGGTACGGAGGAAATTTACAAAAATTATACCAGGGGTGAGGGACGTAAATTGTGTGGAGAGACTAGAGAAGATGGGATTATTCTCCTAAGAGCAGAGGTTGAGGGGGCAATTTAATAGAGGTGTTCAAAATTATGAGGGGTTTTGATAGAGTAGACAGGGAGAAACAGTTTCCTCTGGTGGTGGGTCGGTAACCAGGGGACATAGATTTAAAATAACTGGCAAAAGAACCCAGAGGGGAGATGTGGAGAAATTGTTTTACCCAGAGTTGTCACCGTCTGGAATTCACTGCCTGAATGGGTGGTGGAGCAGATTCGATAATAGCTTTCAAAAGGGAATAGATAGGTACTTAAAAAGGAAAGGCTGAGAGCTATGGTGTAAGAGTGGGGGAGTGGGACTAGTTGCCTAACTCTTTCAAAGAGCCGGCACACAGGCACGATGGACCGAATGGCCTCTTTCTGTGCTATTCTGGGACATCCTCCTGACGTGAAGGTCGCTATACAAATGTAATTTGTTGTTGTTGTTAAGATTCTATGATCCTGTGATGTGAACCCTAATGTGCGCGTATGTGCAAAGCAGGAAATTATGTTGATGATAATCCAATGACTTGGAAGTCAGGACAATTTCGTTCTTTTTAAGATCTAAAAATCAGATCATCGCTGACATCACTTCCTGGTTTGTGCATGTTCAGCACAGCAAGTGACATAGACATTTATCATGATGACTGGAAGGTGGCCATTTTTCTTTTAGTACAGGAACTGGCCAATACGCAGGAACTGGCTTGTGACCCAGACAGCATACGCAGTGAGACCAGCTATAGCATGAGGTTGGAATTTGATGGATCCCAACACGTTGTAACGGGCCCCACTGCATCTGTTCTTCAAAAATGTCTGCAGAAAACTGATAAAAAGAACTGACTTTTTTTTTAAAAAAAACTATTGGCCTCATTCATCATGGTATTAAGTCATTTATGAAGTCTTATTGGATTAAATCCAGTGCACCATCTAACCAGCTGCTTCAGCCTCTATACTGCAAAGGTCATTCACAACTGTGCAATAACCAGCCCATCACATCTGCCTTGCATCATTTTCTTTCTTGAAAACTGACTGAGACCCCATCTTGGGTGGTTACATCAATTTAGCCATATTAAGATTAAGTTGACAGGCTTTTAATGGCATAATTTTTTTTTACAGTTTTAGCACTAATAAATCCTTCCCAAAATAATCACTTGTCAGGAATTCTTGTTTATATCTTATGGTGCTGACATCAGGAAATTCCCAAAGGTTGAATGCTCAAATTAAACCTTTATTCTAAATGTGCAATGTGTGTGTGAAGAATGAAGCACAAGTACTGTATTTTTGATCTGCTGGGAAACCTTTATGCCCAAGAAATGAGACATTAAACTAAGATCCTGTCTGCCTGACTTCAAATGGGCGTTAAAAATCCTATGATGCTATTCAACAGGAAAAGAAAGTGTCTCCTGCAATTCTAGTCAACAATACTGCCAATTATTTAGTCATTCACCTCCTGGCTGTTTGTGGGACCCTTTTATGTGCAAACAGGCCTTTGCGCTTACCTTAAAAAAAACAGTAATTGTATTCAACAGTAATTACTCTAAAGCACTTCGAGACTTTCGACATATAAAATGCAATCAAAATGCAAATTCTCTCTTTCTTCTTATGTCTAGGAGCATCTAGTGGGAACTGATTTTGTGCCTAAGGGGTTCAGCTTAGTTTTTTTTCAGAAGCTGTTGACTGGACAGAATGAGAATGGTTTCTCCAGGAAAGGGGTAAAATTCCAGCAGGACAGCAAAAAAGTGGTCACCTTATCTTATCAGTTAAAGAAAAAACTGTTCTTTGGTGGACTAAGATTGTTAAATGAAGAGATATTCTTACTAAAAGATGATTTGCCCAGCACAGACTTTTTCAGTGTTTTATAGTGCATACAGGATCTTGTGCTGAGTAACTGCTGGAAATGTGGTTTCATACTTTTGATTTGATTGTAAATAGAGACAAATTACTTTAGGCTGTAAAACAATAATCCAGGTTTTGATATCTACTGCATCAAGAGACTTTGGCCATGTGGTGCCATGCTAAGCTGCTATTATAAGCAATGATAACTAAGCTGCTTTATAAACAAACTCAGTAACCACTGCATCTAGATTAACTGTTAAGCCCTTGGGTTACAGCTTTGTGAAGGTAGAGTATGTGGGGGAGGAGCAGCTTCTGTATTGCATAGGGCAAACAGATCTTGAGACTCTGTCCAAAAACAATAGAAAATAGAATTTCTGAAACACAAACCAGGAAAAACAGAAATAATTCACGGTTCTACTTCAAGATCTATATTATACATTATTGATAATAGAAGAACTTTCAAAAGTTGTCCCTTCATTCTGAAAGCAGCCCAATTGCTTCCATATAAACTTCACAGATTAACCACTGAAGTGATCAGGAATTCTCAAACTGTATGTTTTGTCAAAAAGATCATTTAAAATTCAATACCTTTGGTGGCAGCCCGATTCTGTGAAACCTGCGACCAACCTTTGGCACTTTTTCTAGAGCATATTTCTTTCCTCTGGATTTTGCACGGTCTATTGCACTATAATTGAACGTTTCACTCGCAAGCCAGACTACCTGTGCAAAGAAAACAGAGAGGGAGAATGCTGTTATAAAAATAAAAGTTTGAAGTGTGTTTTCTGGATATTCGCAGCATAATAAGTGACCGGAGTTTGCATCTTAAGAACGATTCTGATGGGGCTCCTCACAAAATCATTTCAAGGTACAATTATGGAATACTGGAAATATATAGAAGAAAGCCTCTGAACCTTTTGAGTTTTTGTCAAAGGATCTTGTAATATTTCTGCATACAACTTTGTATGATACTAAAAATAAATTTGGAACCCCCAATATATTCCCTTAAGGTGAACAAACACTCGTCAGAAAATTGATGAGCCACTGAAGCTGAACAAAGATGGAGTAATGGGTTTGTGGAGTCTGCTGCAGGAGACAACAGCCTGGAATAATCTAACCTGCACATAAATGCTTGGTCTCGCTAACCCGAGGGGGTGGAGGTGGGTGGGGGGCATAAAGAGATAGTGACAGAGTTGGATGATGTTGTGGAAGTAAGGGAAGGCAGAGCGGGTGAGAGCCTGGACATGGGGTTTGAAATTGGTGGTCACACAGACATTGAGTGAGGTTCTGCACCTGCTCTGTGATGTGGAGTGAGCATCCATGCAAGTCAATGTGGTCTTCGCCTAAGATGAGAAGGCACTGATGGGAGCCAAGCAGGAAAGTCTTGTGGTGGAAGCAGCTGAGCGAATAGGACTGGAGTTAATATTAAGTCAAGTAGCTAATTTAAACATTTTGAGTACAACCCCGTCAAGGCAATTATGATGATGATCAAATGTTAATTTAAATTTTTCACATTGTTATTTGAATGTTTGTTAAGTTTTTTTTAGAAGATCTTGAAAGACCACTTGGAAAATGGTGATCTTAAATTCAAGCTAATGTTCAAACAAATTCATACCATAATTCCCACATACTTACATTTATTACAATTATCTAAGAATTTTCTTTTTACTGTGAGCACAAAGAAATCCTAGATAGTTTGTTTTTTTTAATATAAAAAGGACCACAGCAATCTCTCTGCAAATTAGACACAAGGGAACAAATACATTGGAATACTATGGTAAGCAGAGATTGATTACAAGGAAAACGGCTCTAGAACACAGATTAAAGTAACCATCGAAATGACCAACAAAACAATAAAGTTAAAAATTTATAAGATTCCACATTTAAGAGATAACAATGTATCGTCACAGAGGAGTGGACCAAACTTCTGTCACACATGAGATTGTGCAGTTATCAATGTTACCTCACAGGCTAAATGTTCCCTCACAGAGAGAAAGAAACTCAGATAAAGTTCTCTCCACAGTAGCTTGCTCAGAACTAACTGTATGGAACAAATTGCAACCTTGGCCAAAGTTAGTTTATGGCTTGGAGAAGAAAGAGCAAGATGCTTTCCTTTTAAAAAATAAAGTTTCAGTTTATTCTAGCTGATGATATATTGTGTGTGGTTTGCTGGATTAAGAATTTCCATTACATCTTAATTGTTTTAAAAATTAAACAATAATCTTGACTACTCAAATATCAGAAATAATAAATGATTCATGTGGTAATACTAAGTAATCAAGCCTCTGTACTATCAATCAAGGGGACTCCTGGGGGGCAACGTAGATCATCCATATTGCCTATTCATCTATTATGATTTTGGCTGGCCATTACATTATATATCTTAACTTCCGGTGAATATCTGACACTGTGAAACTAAATCAAAACAAGTTTACTGTCCAACATCTAAGTTTCACAGAATACAACAAATTAAAGAAGCCAATGATAAAAAGAATGATTTCACCTGAAAAAATGGATGGAAGACTGATAATGTTGTATTTTTAAAGCAAAGCCATTCATTGTCTAAAATTAAGGGAATAAGTATAAGGAAAAGCTCTTTCCTCTCTTATATTACATCAGTTATCGATTTCACGATTCAGAGTATTTTATTATAAATTAACTTTCATATCAAAATGTACAATGAGAAAGTTCATATAGTTAGTACAATGAGAGCATGAAAGGTTCAAAGAATTACATAAGAAACTAGGAGGAAATGGAGCGCAACAACATACCTTTGTTTTTGGTACGACTTCCAGTCCTAGTTTTTCATCTACAAGGTATGCACCAGCTTCAGACAGGTAACCTTGATTAGGAATAAGACAGCCACGCCCAAAACAGCACGGACAGCAGATCTTGTGGAAAAATTTGGTCCATTTGGGATTTAACTGTCCATAGGGTTCTTCTGTTTTTGGTTTGTATACTCCAATTATTTTCTAGGAAAAAAGGGTTAAAAAACTATCAATTCATAAACATCTCTTAAATATAATCTTGCAGATAAGAAGCTAAATTGTTTCAGCAGCGCTCACAAACCATTTTCAGTAAAAAAAAATGCTTTGATGGAGAAGTGTGTGAATTTCTACAATAAACAACACCTAATGAAGGAAAATTAAAGTCTGATGAAACAAAGGCTCATCACATTTGTTTCAAGTCCTACAAATGCCTGAGGTGAAGTATGCAGTTTCAGACTGACATGGTAAAGAATCTTCTTAGCATGTTCTAGTGCTCAAAATAAACCCAAAGGATATAACAAGACAATTACTTGGCAAGAGTGATGAAAATTGATTTTAGTTTTAAACGGAGGCGACACGCCACTTCTTACACATGAAGAAACGTGCCTGAAATGTGCCAATCTGGATGCTCAGTTCAAAGTATAGCCACTTTCAAAAGCAAATCAAATTGGATGAGGGCTTGCTGCACATCTTGGCAAAAATCTGTTATGCTCCTACTTAGCGCAACGCCATCCTTAAGGCTTCTCAGTGCAAGGTTAGCTACATTAATTTCAGCACAAATTGGCAGTTGTACACTGTGGACTTCCACCCACTTTGAACTGGTTTCAAAACCCACTCAAACAGAGGGCCTTGAACAGCCACAAGAGAGACTTTCATCCCATCAGACTCTGTTAGATTGAAGCAATTTGCGGAGATGAAAGGACATTTTGCCATCATGCTGTCCTGTACAGAAGAAAAAAAAATCTATTATTTACTTTACTTTCATTTAACTTGCCTGCGTCATCCCTCCAGTTCCATAATCACTGTTCATTTCAAATAACCTGTTTACATCTCGTTACATAGAATTACAAAGACCAAATAGCACCAAAGCAGGTTGATCAGCCTGACTGCGTCACCTCGGCTCAGTTGGTAGCACTCGGCTCGGAGTGAGAAGACTGGGGGTTCAGCCTCCGTTGATCTGGCACCTCAACGCAGCCTGTTCTGATGAACATTACAAAATATCCACGACACTATTTGAAACGCGAAAAGGAGTTTCTCCTGGTGTCCTGGCCAACAATCTCTCAAATAAAATTGGCCATTTACTTAACAGCCATTTATGGGACATTGGGATAGTGCACGTCTGTCATGTTTGCCTAAACAATACAGTCACTACACATTACTGTGAAGCACTTTGAGAGGTCCTCCTAATGTGAAAGGTGCTTTTTCAAATTTATTTTATTATTATAATCATTTTGTGCTACTGGTTATACTGACACGGGTTTCCACCCATCCAAATCTCACTTCCCTATCTCCCTCCCATACCCCTATATTCCCTTATTCCTCAAGTATGTATCAAGGTTTCTCATAAATACAGAAGGTGTAGTTGAAGCTTTCTAACCACAGCTTCTGGCAGTGAGTTTCAAATTCTCGTCACTCTCTGTGTAACCATGTTCATCCTAAACTGTCGTAGCTCTGCTGGTGGTTATTTTATATTTATGCTCCCCCTTGTTATGGACTCTATGACAATTGGTAAAAGCCTATTTCTTATACCCATTTTAACAAATCCTTTTATTAAAGATTCAATAAAATCGATACAATAAATAATTGAACGATTTTCATTTTAGTTGAGAATACTTCATTTTTAAAAATTTGGATCGGACTTCCTTGATGGCTCTGTGGGTAAATATTATCTCTTTCCCCCACTCTGAGTAAAGCATTGGGCAGTACATCCTAGAAATCCTTTGAACACGTTATCTCAGCCTGTTTACGTAGTACAGGTGAGTCATTAAAGATCCCACATCACTATTTTTCAAATAATGAACATATTAAGCTGACAAATGCTCCGACCTCAACACCAAAACTGGGTACATTTGTCCATTCACCCCATTACTGTTTGTGCACAGATTAGCTATGAAAAGAATGCAATTGGGCTGACATGGGCACATTTCATTTAACACTGATGAATGTAAAGGATTCCGCATACAATTGGTAGAAAAAAATGAGTAAACAAGTATACAACAAATAAAATTTAATTCAAGGAAGGAGACGTGAACTGAACCTCAAACAAACAGTAGGCAGACCACCTCCAATGTGGTGAAGTGATTTAAAAAACTAATGAAATAGTATATATACAGAGGTTGTGTTCGATTTTACAAATTCAGAAATCAGATCATATCTAGAAGATTGTTCAACTTTTGTCACAATGGCACAAAAATAATGTCGAAACACTGACTATTTGGAGTAATGCATCAAGAAAAGCAATGGAATCTGTTGAGTTTCTGCAGTATAATTAGATGGAAAAATGTACTGGGGTGAGAGTTAATGGACTGAGTCAATGAGCTAAAAGGCCTTTTTTCATTACAGACTTTTAATGTTTGACATATAAGCTAATGCCCTTGAGAACAGGCTCGTTCTTTACTTACCATGTGATAGTATCCAGTCAATTTTAATCTATTTTCAATGAACAGTCCATTACACTCAAATTTTTTTCCACCTTTGTAAGCAAACAGCCATTGATTTCTATAAATTTTCTTTTCCTGTTTAAATGTGTATTACCTTAATCTACAATATAATCCATCTGCCATCACGCTATTGAAGGATAAGAAACTCTTATCACTGCAGTGTTGCAAAATAGGTTATTGATGCTACTCTAATTATAGAGCTGAACAGCTTGGATAACAGCTGAGAAGCTTGCATGATTTCTAACAGAAAGTAAAACTAATTATTTTTAAAAATGGGCATTTACATCTTAAGAAAAACCTATATTTTTACATGAATCAGTTTAGCACTTGAAAGCAGACTAAAGGCTTAAAAAAAGCAGATTCATTGTTCTGAATATGCAGATTCTAAAGCATTCTGGATTTCTTAACAAAGATAAATTGTAGGCATTCTCCTACAAAAATACGCAGTCGCCACACTTTACATCAAAAATCAGGTGAGGTGCTTTGAGATGTACAGTACTCCCAACATGAAAGGTGCTGTATTAAATAATGATGATCCTTACATTTGATATAGCACCTTATCACGTCTTCGAGATGTCTCAAATCGCTTCACAGAATAGACTGTAAAGTGAATTGACTGTATATGTTGTGGGCGAAATTGCGGACAGCAGTGTCCCACAAACAGTCGTGGATTGAATAACCAAATTAATATCAATTATTTTGAAGGAATGATTACCCCCAGAAAAGCAATCCACCAATCGACTAACAATGGGGTTCCCACTGACTGCTAGCACTGATTTTTTAAATTAAATTGTTCTAGACTGAAACTGGTAATTCTGAACAAGGGTATTATATGCACATCACAAGATAAACTTGGAGGAAGCCCCTTGACACATTCAATTTCATTCTTCTTGTAACCAACCCTACCACCTTTTCCATGCAGCATCAAGCTGTGTTTTAAATGTCCTGACTTCTCCATATGTGGCAGCTGTTGATTATGTTAGGTATGTACTAAAGAAATACCTCCAGGAATTTCTTATAAACTTGCTCTTCACAACCTTGAATCTGTATGCTCATGTCTTCTTGTCACAGTGCATCTGAAAGCATACTTTCTATATCCCGTTAAGCATCTTACACCTTGAATTCAAACGACTGGAAGATAGCGAGCCAGTGAAGACAAGCAAGGATGGAGGTGTGTGGAGCCTGGTGCGGTTGAGGATCTAGACTGCAGGGTTCTGGATATTCTAGGGAAAAGGTGGGAAGATAGAGTGGATGTCATCCACATACATGTGGAAGTAAACCTCGAGTCTGAGGCTGATGTCACTTAGTGGGAGCAAATAGATGGTGAAAAGGTGAAAGAATAGAGCCCAGAGAAATTCCTCAGGGGCAGCAGCAGAAGCCGTTAGATGGGAAGTAATTCGTCAGAGCTCCCTCTAAAGAGTCTCTCGTTGCTCACTTCTGCGTGGCCTGCTCCTTTACATTGGTGCAAACAGAACGAGAGGTAGTACTTCACGTGTGACCTAACTAGAGCACGCTACAGCTTGACGACGTTTGGGGATTTGAATTCAACTGATTCAGCAATACAACCCTGCATTTGGTGTCGTTTTTGTGGTCTTACACAACTTTGACATGCTAAGTGACAAATGAACATCCTGGGACCCAATTGCTCTACTAGTAACCATTGAATTTGTGCAGTAATGAGGCTGCATTGCCAGAAATGCTGACCTTCTGTTGAGACATTAAACTGAGATTTCATGTGCCTGTCCAGGTGGACGTTAAAGACCCCATTTGCAACACTATGCTGTGTTTTCCCTCCAAATATACACAGACACACTATTTTACACTATAACCTGTGAAGTGCTTTGAGATATCTTGATGACGTGATAAGGCACTATATCAAAGGCAAGGATTATTATTAAGAGACATTAACTTAGTTGTAGAAATTCATAATTTTCGGAATCACCAGGGGAATAAAACAATTTGTAGCATATGTAATTTTCAGCAAAAATATCATTAGCTTCGACTACTGAATTCAAGTATTAAACTTAACTAAATGTTAAAATTAAATTGCCAAGAAGGAGCAAACCTAATATGGTGGGGATAGGAAAATAGAATCCTTGAATTTCTGTGGAACTGTTTGAAAACCGTGTACCAAATACAATAATCACTCTGAAAAGAGCTCATCTTTGACTATGGCAGATTACGGTTTTATGATAATGCCTATTCTCCTGAGTCCCTACTCTTTCCACTACAGTAGTTCCTAATTGCATCTTAGTTTAAAGACAATCTTTAGGAGCTGGCTGGAAGTAACAGATTTACTGGTGATCTTTGCAACTTGGTTGATCATCAGACAAAATACCAAATCTGTATTAAACACAACCAGTGGCTACATTAGTTGATTTAAAAAAAAGATTTTCAGGTCTGAGGGAAATGAATAGTGCATTTATACAGCGCCCCTCACGCACGGTAACGTCCCAGTGTGCTTGATAGTGGCAGAGCACAATGCCGAGCGGGTGGGGAAGGAGGTGACTGAAGGCACGGTCGAATAGGAAGATCTTCAGGCGCAACCTGAAGATGGGTAAGGAAGGGGCAAGATGGAGGGATAGAGGACTGGCTCCGGCCTTCTGCACGTTTCGGGGCTTCCAGAGTTTCGGGGCATAGTGGTATAATGGTGGAACGGAGGACAAGATCGTGTCGGGCAATGTGGCGGAGGTAGAGGAAGATGGTTGTAGTCAGGGAATGGATGTGGGTAAGGAAGCATAGCTGTGGATCGAACCTGACACCTAGGTTGTGCACTGGTTTGGAAAGTCTGAGGGATAGGCCAGGGGGGTTGAGAAGGTCAGAGCCGCAGGATAGAAGGTGTTAACGGGAGCCAATGAGTACGGTTTCCGTCTTGTCAAAATTTAGTTGTAGGACCTTTTTGCTCATCCAGGCCCCGATATCTGCCAGATAAACTGAGAGAACATTGGCGAACCTGGAATCACAGCGGAGGAGGAGCAGTAGATTTGTGTGTCATCCGCATACATATGATAAGCCTGATAATAATCCCTCAAGAAAAAAAATAATAATTTGGTCCCTTCAATCCACAACTGTTTGTGGGACACTGCTGAGCACAATTGGCTGCTATGTTTTGCCCATAAAAAATACAGTCAATTCACTTTACAGTATATTCTGTGAAGCACTTTGAGACATCTAGAAGGCGTGAAAAGCGCTATATCAAATCCAAGGATTATTATTATATGAAAGTTTATCCCATGTTTGCGTGTGACATCGCCAAGAGGGAGCATATAGATGAGGAAGAGGATGGGGCCAAGGATGGAGCCCTGGGGTACACCACAGGTGACATGGTGGGGGCGGGAGGAGAAACTGTTTCAGGAGATAAAATGGAGGCGTTTGTTAGGTAGGATTCAAACCAGACGAGTGCTGTCCCACTGGGGTTGATGAGGCAGGAGAGTCGGTGGATAAGTATATTGTGGTCTAACACGGCGGAGAGGTTCAAAAGGACGAGGAGGCAGAAGTAGCCCTGGTCAAAGAGAGAGGACCGTTCTGTGCTGTGGCCAGGGCAGAAACCAGCTTGTTGGGGCTCGACTTCCAGAGCTTTGGCAATGGGTCAGTAATTTGAGGGTCTTTTTTGAGGAGTGGAGTGATGACAGCGGTTTTAAGGGGGAGAGGAACAGAACCTGAGGAGAGCGACTGGTTGACAGATCATAAAACAGATTGAAAAGTACCTGAAAATGCTTATTCTGGAAAATGAAGGGTCTGAAAATTTCCATTTTGAAACCTTGCCCTAATATCACCAGGCAGTTCAGTACTTGTTGTGTGTAAGTCATAAAAGTCTGACTTGCATATAACTCTACGTAAGTCATATATTATACAACTTACGTGAGGTTTACTGCATTATTCATGTCGGGAGGGCATGTGAATATGTAAGCTCATGTCCTGACATGGAGCTTGAACCCACAACCTACTTTGGTAATCCAGAGCTCATTCATACAATACAAGTTGGGTCTTTTAAAATTTAAAACATTTCCTCTCCCTAAAAATCAAGAAACAATAATAATCCTTGCATTTGATATAGCGCAATTTCACGTCTTCTCGACGTCTCAAAGCGCTTCACAGAAGACTGTAAAGTGAATTGACTGTATATTCGAGGATGAAACGCGGCAGCCAATTGCGCACAGATGTGTCCCACAAACAGTTGTGGTTTGAAGTGACCAATTTATTATTGTTTTATTTTTCTTGAGGGATTATTATCAGGCGTGTGGAGTAAGGAAACTTGCCCAAGGTTTCACCCTGGTGGGAATCAAACCCAGGTCTCTCGCTTGTGAGGCGAGTGCTCTAACCACTGAGCTACAGGACTCCCAGTAGTAATTTAATAGATCTCAGATGTCCAGTTTATCCTCTTTCTCTCCACCTATTGCACCCTTGGATTTTAAAAAAAATCCTTATGTTTGATATAGCGATATTCGCGTCAGGGGAACACTTAAAAGTGACTTGTGCATTGTTCTGAGAAACGGGGCAGTGAATCGGCGCAGAGGCACGTTCCGCAAACGGCCGCGAAGCGAACGACCGGCTTTCCGGACCGTCGGCCCGGACACGGGCGTGAACGCCATTCCCTCTTGAGGACGAGGGCGGCGGGGCTTCCGCGGGCCGACCGGACCCACGTCCGAACACATGCGGCGGTGGACGTGACGCCCGGACGGTGCACCGGGCAGCTCCAGGGCGGGGGGGTCAAAGTCCAGACTGGGGCCTGAGCCACAACAACAACAACAACAACTTGCATTGATACATCGCCCCTCCCCCCCGCCCCACCCCCATACACACACACACACAGGGAGAGGAGAGGACCTGAGGGCGACCATTGGACCCACAGCCGAGTGGGTGAGTGAGTGAGTGACTCAGAGGTGAGAGTGCGACCCTCTCCGCCAGACTGGTGACTGTGTATATAATATTAACGGTGTGTGCCCCCCCCCCCCGGGCCCGGGGCCCCCCACCCCGGTGTGCCCTCCCTCCCCCTCCCCCTCACACTCACCCCCTTGGGGTCCCTGACGAAGTAGCTGCCGCTCGATCCCTGCGAGATGCGCTCGGGGCTGACGCCGCTCTCGATGGCCTGCTCTGCCCGCAGCACAGTCTCGGTGAACCAGGGGTCGTCGGGGAAGTGGTTCAGGTCGGGGCCGCCGGCGCCGGGGCTGTGCGGGGGCTCCGAGGAGGCCGCGGCCCAGCTCAGCAGCGGCTCCTTCTCGGCGCACAGCCGCGGCGCCGGAGAGCACGAACTGAGCGCCTCGTCCTCCTCCTCCTCCTCCTCCACCACCACCTGCTGCTGCTGGCGATGGTGGGACAGGAAGCGCACGGCTCCCCCCGGTTTGCTCCTGAGCTGCCCCCGGCTCAGCACCAGCACCTCCTCCTCCTCCACCACCACCTCGGGTCGGGCCTCGTCCGGCGGCTCGACCCGCCCCAGCGTCACCGACTCCATCGACGGCTCTCAGCGAGCGCGAGGCCGCCTCCATCCGCGCTCTGCCCCAACCCCCCCCCCCGGCTGTCACTCACAGCCCCCGGCCCCGCCCCCCCCCGGCTGTCACTCACAGCCCCCGGCCCCGCCCTCCCCCAGGCTGTCACTCACAGCCCCCGGCCCCGCCCTCCCCCAGGCTGTCACTCACAGCCCCCGGCCCCGCCCCCCCCAGGCTGTCACTCACAGCCCCCGGCGCCTAGCAACTCCGCCCCCGGCCACGCCCCCCCTCCCAACCCGGCAGCTCTCGCTCTCTCTCTCTCTCGAGGCACGCGCCTGCGCATCAGCCACCAGGGGGAACCTGCCGGTTCATCCTGCGCCGCGGATTTCCCAGGGATCCCTGCGAGGCTAATCGTGACAATGGTGTCACAATGGAACTGTTTGTGGCTGCTCTGTGATGTCACAACGGTACTGTTGCTGGTATTCTATGATGACGTAAAGACGCCCTGTGATACCTGTTGAGGTGGATGTCAAAAGACCCCAAGAGGTCAAGGGGAGTTCTCTCCCACTGTTGTACCACCAACAATTCTCCAAAATAAAGTTTGCCATTTTGTGTGACGTGGCTATTTGTGGGATATTGCTGCGCGCAATTGGGTTGCCTCGTTCTCCGACAAATACGCAGTCACTGCACTTCACAGAAAATCTTGCTGGGCGCTTTGGGATGTCCCCCGACCTGAAAGGTGCTATACCAAATGTAATAATAATAATAATAATAATCCTTGCATTTGATATAGCGCTTTTCACGTCAGGAGGACGTCCCAAAGCGCTTCACAGAACACACTCTAAAGTGGATTGACAGTATATTTGTGGGCGAACGCGGCAGCCAATTGCGCACAGCAATGTCCCACAAACAGTCGTGGGTTGAAAATGACCAATTTTATTATTGTTTTTGGTTTTTTTGGAGGGATTATTATTAGGCGTGTGGAGTAAGGAAACTTGCCCAAGGTTTCGCCCTCTGCCTGGAATTGAACTCAAGTCTCTCGCTTGCAAAGCGAGTGCTCAACCACTGAGCTACAGGACTCCAGAATAAATGTAAGGATTATTCTTTTTTATTACTGTTACCAGTGCTCTGTGGTACAATGGTACTGTTATTGGTGCTCTGCTATGTCATAGTGATAGAGTTACCACTAATGATAGTTACCAGTGGGTATCTCATAACAATAATAAATTGATCATTTTCAATCTACGACTGTTTGTGGGACATTGCTGTGCGCAATTGGCTGCCGTGTTCGCCCACAAATATACTGTCAATCCACTTTAGAGTGTGTTCTGTGAAGCGCTTTGGGACATCCTCCTGACGTGAAAAGCGCTATATCAAATGCAAGGATTATTATTATTATAACATTGAAGATCGAGGATTAGACAGACAGTGAATTAGCCACAATGTTCAGAAGAACCTTTGGAAACACGGATCAAGCCAAAGGATTGGAGTGTGGCAAATGTTCAAAAGGAGGGAAGAGGATAAGCTGGGAAATGGCCAATTGATCCTACCTCAGTTGTAGATGAATGTCTAGAGACTGTATATAGGTTAGATTGTTAAATTCTAATAAAAACTGGGATTGATCCAAGAGAGTCAGCATGGATATGAAAAAAGAGAAGTAATACTTGACTAATTTGATTGTATTATCTGAGGAAAGCTGTGTGTTATTAATAAAGGGAATGCAGTATATACATGGATGCCATATATACAAGATACCATATAAGATCCTTGTTGAAAAAATGTGAGGCACTTTGGTAAATTAAGGCGATGGATATTAGCTGTGCATGGGATACAGTAATCCGTAGTAAATTTGAGGGATCTGTGCCAGGACCACTATTAATTTTCATCTATGTTAAAAGGCAATTAGAAGAAAATATTTCTGTTGATTAACTAAATTATGGGGAAGCAAACAGTGATGACAAATGCAAGAAACAACAACACATTACATTTGTTTAGCGCCTCCACATTGTGACAACAGCCCAAGGTGCTGGACAGTCAGAGATTCGGACCCGAGCAGGGGGTTGGGATCAGGAGGGGTGGAGGGCAGGAGTAGGAGGGTGACCGAAGGTGCAGTCGAAGAGGAGGGTCTTGAGATGAGCATTGAAGGAGGTGAGGGAGAGAGCAAGGCAAAGGGACTGGGATAGAGATCCAAAGAGTGGGGACAGAGAAACTGAAGATACCATAAGGGTATCAACCAATGTTGGTGGGGCGGGCCAGGTGGGGGACGTGGAGCAGGCAGGAGCCTGCTGAGCAGAGGGAACGGAGAGATCAACATGGAGAACCTGGAGAATGATTGACTTATTCCTTCCAATTTGATTTACCATTGTGAACAGCTAAGTTGGCAGATGCAGTGCAATGTTGAGAAATGTGATGTAGAACAATTGGAGAAAAAATAAAGTGTACCCTAAATGCTAACATTCTTAATGATTTTCAGGAGAGGTCTAAGGGTGCAATTATCCAGACCTTTAAAGGTGGGAACAAGTACAAAGAATTCTAGGTTTATATATAGGGTTAATGAAACAAGAATTTATGTAAGACATTGGGTTAGGCCACAGATGGAGTACTTGTGCAGTTCTGGGCACTTCATTACTGAAAGAATATGAAAACCATGGGAAGGATGCAGTGTAGGTTCATAAGTATGAGAATTTATTTATTCGAGAAATGGCCTCCTTCTGTGCTGTAATTACTGTGTTTTTAAATGAAATAAAATCCCATCTGGAGCAATTAACAGTGTGTAACTAATCTCTTACTGGACCAGAACGAATATGGCTTGAAGTATGGAGTGCTTTGTTACAAGTGATTATTGAGGCTGAGACCATTATCAACATTTGAAGAGAAACCATATTTATAGAAATAAAAAAATTAACCTGCAAGGAGCATGTTGTATTTACTCTTTTAACTATAATGTTCTTATACAACAACAACAACAAGATTCCATTTATTGAGCGCCTTTCACGTCGGGAGGACGTCCCAAGGCGCTCTGTATACTATGTAGTATACTATGTAGTTTTGAGTAAGATGTGATTACCTTATTGAAATGTATCGAGTTGAAAATTATACAGGATTGTTCTGCTTTAATTCTTCTGTCTTCCTTTAACTGCTTCAAAATGTGACCACTCAAAGTTTAGTTTGTGCACGTAGACTGGAAAGTTGTTCTCAGGTTCCTATTTATAAGAACTTATTCTGTGCTATTCATTATTTTTTTATGGACAAACTCTAATATGATTTAAGAGCAAATTAGGAATTGCATACTTCGTTCAACAAATGTTTCCCTGTCTGTATTACACAGCCTTCATTTACATTTCTTTGCATGTATCCTGAACTGCTTGTGATGTGGATAAATCAATAGTCATTTGTAAACTGGGAAGAGCAGGCCACTGAAGATTGTGGTCCATTATCTGATGTGACTTGTTCTGGAACGCCATGTTGAGCGAAGATGGATTTCAGATATTCAATTAAATCAGATGACAACTTGGTGACATTCACATATCTCAAAAAGTAATTTACATCAAATAAATAACTACACCTTCTAGATTCAAATTGATCTGTTGCAAGCTTCTGCAATGGAAGACGGGCACAAGAGGAAGCCATTTGGCCTGATCTGCTGGTTCAAGCTCCTTTCCTGGATGTACTTTGCTCTTTTCCCCATAACTTTTTTTTTCTAAGTTACTATTTATCCAATTCCCTTTCAAATGCTGTTATAAAGTTTGTGGTAAGGCATTCCACATTCTTACAAATATCTATGTGTGCAACAAAACATCTTCTAAAAAATCTCCCATTTCCAGAATCTCCAGTTTAATACTCTCTCAATGACAATGATGTCCTATTGTCCTATCCACAATGAGGTGTCCAAAACTAAACTTAATACGCCAAATGAGGTCAAGCCAGCGTATTGTACATAATTAACATAAATTAATTTCTCTTGTGTTCTGTGCTCCTAAATGTAAATCCAGAATTCTATTTCGGGATTTTATCATTTTATCCACTTGCACTTCCACTTTTAGAGGCATATGGCTGTACTCTTCTTTACCCGACTTTGCCTGTTTTATTTTTTGCAGGCTGTCTTATTTCTTGAAGATGTTGTTCTGAAGCAAGAATGTCTAGCTCATGATGCAAAAACATAAATATCAGTCCTTTCCTAAATGCATTTTGTACAGTATTTGCATTTTAGTTTAAATGTACCATGCTTGTAGATAAACAGCATTTTATGCAGTCTGTCACTATCATCTTGCTTAAGAGTATCCAAACCAGATTGACAGACCCACATACATATGCCACCTACATATTGAAAGTTTCCTGTGTCTGGAAATGGAATACACGCTCAAGAACCAAGCCAAAGGTCTGTAGTCAGTTGAAGTGTGTGAAAGCTCTTCCTACCAGATTGTCTTAGGATCCAACCAAGAGAAGTCATTCTTAATAATTTAATTGAACGCTTACTTCAGCCTCTTCCTAGACAAAAGGATCATGGCCAAGATTTCTAAAAGTGTAAAATATTTTCTTTTCTTTATCCAAACAATTCTAAAATCATTAGAAAAACATCACAACAAAATCGGCTTGACTTGTCTCACTCCCAAATTACAAGAGAGCTCCTTCAAAGCTTTTTTTTCGAGGGGTGGGGGTAGAGTCCACCTTGACCCCTCATACATATTCATATTCAATATTTTTGCACAGTAAAATAGAAGCAGATTAAAATAGTTACTATTCATCACCACCACCATTTAAAACATATCAACAGAAAATCTCATGATGTAAACATGAATATCAGTCCCTTCCTAAATGCATTTTGTACAGGTACAGTGTTTGCATTTTCGTTGAAATGTACCATGCTTGTATACGAGCAGCCTTTTATCCAGTGTATTGATTTTCTCCAATCTCTTGCTTTCCTCACCTTCAAAGCCCCCTCCATGGCCTTGCTCCCCCCTACCTCTGCAACCTCGTAACCTCCTACCCATCGTGCTCGCTCCCTCTGCTCAGTGGGCGGCAGCCTGATTCACTTCCCCCGGCTCTCCTGCCCCACCATTGGCGGGTGGGCTTTCTGCCACTCTGCCCCCATGCTCTGGAACTCCATCCCACAGTCCCTCCGCCTCGCCCCCTCCCTCGCCTCCTTCAACACCCATCTCAAGGCCCTCCTCTTCGATTGTGCCTTCAATTATCCTCCTCCCCCCCCCCCCCAATGCAGAGGGAATGAATGCAGCAGGAGGGAGGGAGGCAGTGCTGCTGAGGCTGAACTGCTACACTGAGAGTCTGTAGACTTTGGGGAGAGGTTATAGTTCAGAACTGCACTGGAAGCGGAAAGCCTGTGCCTGGCGGAGCTTTGCAAACTGAACACTTAAGTGGTAACCACATCTTTTTACAATAAATCCAATGAAACTCCCAGCCTGATTCCTTTGACTTTAGACCCTGGCTGCAGCCTCTCGCTCTTCATCTCCGAGGTGAGGTTGGTGTCGGGCTCAGCACTGGAAGAGCTGGTGACTGTGGGTGTGTGAAGCTCTCAGTAAAATGCAAATACTCCCTATACAAGGCGGTACCATCAGTGCTGTCCTTAGGCTGGTTTGTGCTCGTGTGAGAGGGAAGGAGAATGACTGGTTATAGGTATAAAGGACTCACTAGTGACCTGGTGCTGGAGAGAGAGAGAGAGAGAGAGAGTGTGTGTGTATCATCCGGTGCTGGAGAGAGAGTGTCTGTCATAATCTGGTGCTGGAGAGAGAGAGAGAGTGTGCGTGTGAGTCATGATCTGGTGCTGGAGAGAGTGTGTGTGTGTGTCTCATAATCTGGTGCTGGAGAGAGTGTGTGTGTGCGTCTCATGGTCTGGTGCAGGAGGCTGTATCTGCAGGGGGTGGGCTAATGCTCAATAAATTCGCATTCACTTGACAATGATAGCCTGATGTGTGTAGGGGTCCAAGGCTGGCCATTCAGCCAACTCCAGCTGCCAACCCTTTACTCCCATAGAAATCTACCCACAGGAGATGACCGTTCAGCTCCATAGTATTTGTGTCTGCTGTTTGCTCCTCCAATAAATCCATGTATCCCAAGTCACAATTTCCCACTCATGCCCACACAAAGAATTATAGAAATCATATTGGTCGTAAGAAACCTTAGTACATCCTCAAACATCTGAGGTTAAGATATTTTTATGCAGTTTGTGGACTCATCTGGGGACCTTTTGCGCTGCACTCCCCACCGTGAACACTGTAGGACAAGGTGGTGGGTGCCCCCAAGTGCGGAGTCAGGACAAAACCAAAACAGTAGTGCTTCCCAACCAATGAAGCTTCGCCTCAAAGAACATTAGGCAAAGGTCAAATACGAGTTAAAAAATGATGCCTTACCAGTTTGATTTCAGTGAATCTTTTTGATCAACAGGACTTGCAGAACCTGTAACACCTAGTTTGATGCTTACCTGACAGTAAAATATGTAGATATATATTCAAAAATGGAAGTTAGAATAACTTTATAGAATCATGATGCCATTTTAATATTTAGTATCCATGAATTCATTCTTTCCTCTCGCCAGCCGCTCTACCCATTGTATCTTTTGCTAACGGTTTCATTTTACTTTCTTCAATTTTCTTCAGATCGCGTAGCCTGAGGGCTTATGACCTTTATTCCTCTTGGTGCAAAGGCTGAACCTAAACCTTGATCTTCTTCAAGTCCTTTGACGGGCAACTATAATCTTGTTCATTTCAGTTCCTCTTATATTGTTTCTTCATTTCTCTCACAAGAACCAACCGATAATGTGACACTTATCTTTGATGCTCCCCTCTTAATCTTTCATCATCTATCTCCTTTGACCTTAGGTGGAATGCTCACATCACCTCTGTTGCTAAAGCACTCTCAGGACGCTCAGTTTCGTCTATGTGCCAAACATATTCTGAATAACTCTTCTCTCCATAAAGCCTAAAGTTGTTCAAGCTTTGAATGTTGCTCCCTTGTCTAGGGAAGCTTATCTGTGGCGACCTCTCTTGCTTTCCCAGACAGCATAAACAAAAGTTTCACTTTTGATAAGTGAACATTCTCTTACTTGCACCTTCTCTGTTCTTGCAAACACTTCTTTCATTCTCTTTTATTGATTGTTGTTGTTATAGTTGTCATTCTGTCTCAAAACTTCCCCTCTTGTAATATAAACAGATTAATAAATGATGGGCTGTCTGATGTATATATTTCTGTATAGTACATGTCCGTAATTCACCTATTGACAATCTTTATTTATGGTTATTTTCTGGCAGAACTTAAAGATCCCTAAGTACTATTTCTCAAAAGAGGAGGGAGTTTCATCAGTTGTCCTGGCTAGATTAAATGACCAATTGGCTTCTCCTTCTAGCTACTTGTGAGGCTTGTTGGCATAAACATCCGCCATATTTACAAGATAATAAGATGTTGTAAAATTACAATTTATTTTTTAAACAAATGTCCACTGAAAAGCGGTCCCTTCCTCACCGAGCACTGGCTTGCGGGATTCACCTTTCTACCTTCATTCCCACCCCAGAATCCCTCCAAATCACTCTCTTACCTTGTTCAAGATCCACCTCCAGACTTACCTTTTTGCTATGCTTTCCATTTTCTTTCCCCTTCCCATATTTTCGCCCCAGCTCGGATGCTCATCAAATATCATTAAGTACTTTGGGACATCTTCCCGATGTAAAAGGCGCTATTTCAAAATACATTTGCTTTGCTCGGAAATGCTACCCTATATAAAGGCAAGTTGTTGTTGAAAAATATGTATGACAAGTCTGCCTGATCAGTTGTGAAACTGATAAAATAATACTAATCCTTGCATTTGACATAGCATCTTATCACATTGTTCAACGTCATCTCATAGTGATTCTCAGGATTTACTGTAAAATGTAGTGACCATATATTTGTAGGCGATATCAATCTGAATCAAACTCAATGCAGCATTAGTTGATTTTTATTCATGCATCGCTGGTATTTTTTGTCTTCACAGCAGCAAGAATGAACACTGAAAACTTTTCCTTAAGTGAGCACATTGTTTCCTCTTCATATATTCAACAGGGTTCACAGGCACGACGCACACATGAGTCTTGATTCGCCTGCTTATAGAAAAGGTAAGAATTGCAAATTAGTGCTTCAGCCAGTACAGACCTGTGTTGTCATTTTTGTCTCAATTTCTTTCTCTATTTGTACATGGGCAGAATCTAAAAAAAAGTAGTTTTTGTAGTGTTAATTCAAGTTAGCCATATCCTTAGCTAATGCTAATGCTTGATATGCTCTTAATCCGGTTTGCTCACGCTTCCCCTCTCTGTCTCAAGCTTTTTCTATCTGTCTTTAAATCCCACCTTAAAACATAGCTCTTTGACCTTGCCTGGGGCATCTATCCCCTCCTCCCTTGCTAAAAGCCTGATCATGTCTGTGAAACATTCTGAGATGTTAACCTGCTTGAAGGGCATGATATGAATGCAATTTGTTGTTGTAATTCCTTGCACATCTAATTAACATCCTCTTAAAGGAATGTTCATCAAATTGTAACTAACCCTTCCTATGTGCTGTACTTGGAGATTTTTTTTATACTGTAGGAATGTACTCTGGTATTCCATTAGGTTCCTTCACAGCTTTGCCACCTGCTTCTCACCTTGAATTTAATTCTTGTATCTTAAACACTGGGACTCTCTGATTTTCTAATCCTTTTTTAAATAAAAATCCTTGCATTTGACATAGCGCTTTTCACGTCTTCTCGACGTCTCAAAGCGCTTCACAGAATAGACTGTAAACTGAATTGACTGTATATTTGTGGGCGAAATGCGGCAGCCAATTGCGCACAGCAGTGTCCCACAAACATCGTGGATTGAAAATGACCAATTTATTATTGCTTTGTTTTGGAGGGATTATTATTAGGCTCTGTGTGGAGTAAGGAAACTTGCCCAAGGTTTCGCCCTCTGCCTGGAATTGAACCCAGGTGTCTCGCTTACAAGGCGAGTGCTCTAACCACCGAGCTACAGTTTAGCATATAATTGCTCTCCCAACTCTTCCTCCCAAAATGTATAACCTCACACTTTCCTGCCTTCAATTTCATCTGTCCGATTTGCTAATCTGTTTACATCTTGGAGTACTGAGGACCTGCCTGGCTCAGGAACTCGCGTGGCAAGACCGTCACAAACAAATGACTCGATTCCAACATTTCACTGATTTTTGTTTGATCAGCAAACTTAGAAATAGTGCTCCATGTACTAGGCTCCAGGCTAATTTCTATCCTGAGGTTTTGTATTTTATCTTACTGCTAATTCCGGGATGTGATTTTCACTGTATTTAACCAGCATACCTCATACAGATCAACTGCCTCTCTTGCTGGATAGAAATAGGCAGGACAAATTCTCTTCCTTCATTTATGTAACTAATAAATTACAAGTGATGGGATGTACTAAGCAATAAAAGTTAGATGCAACTGGGACATCCTGCCATCTGTGACTCAATATTGTTGACTCCACAATGAAATAATGGTGACTGGTAACGCTTGTCTAAATTACCTCAGCTCAGGAGAAAGTATGACTGATTGTCTGATTCAATCCGTCATAGTGAAACAAACGTTTCAAAGCACTGTTAAACCCAAGACAACTACTTTAATGTAATACAGTACTCGACATTTTCATACATCTGGACTCCACAATCTAAATCAATTATTACAAACAAAATATCGGAATTCTGGGGGAAAAAAAGGAGGGTACAGGATGGGCAGCTGCCATAAATTAGATTTTAATGTTCTCTGAGACTGGTGGCTACAGATTTGCAGTGTATGGAAACTTAATATTCAGTGTATTATTTTATGGCAGTGACCATATTGGTTCGTGCTTGTGTTATTTAATTTTGAGTTGCTGAATTGTTTATGTGAACAATTATCAGTTATGCGTTGCAGACCTCTCTCTCTTTCACACAGCCTCTCTGTTGTTCCCACTTTTAGCTTGTTGTGGTAATGCAGATTCTTACAGAGCTGTGTACTCTTGCAATTACGAAGCTCCCTCTGAGAGTTTTTGTTTGTTATGTACTGATAACTGCAAAGTATGCACTAAAATCCTCTTGAATTCTTTTCCTTTCATACACAAGCTGTTTCTATTGTATGTTGTGGAGCTGTTTTTAAAAATGTTGCCAAGCAGTGCTTGGCATGCCCACTTCACTGTGCTCCCACAGGCATCCAGTGTTTGTGATGCCTTTATTAAAATGTTGCCAGTAAACACTATTGTGCAAGGTGCAGTAACTCATGAGTATGATGGTTTATTATTGAAACAGGATTATTTGTTTTAGAGCCTCTTAAGATTTATTATTATAACAATAATCCTTGCATTTGATATATACAGTAGTGCCTTATCATGTTGTTGAAATCTTTCAAAGCAATTCACAGGATTTACTGTAAATTGTAGTGTAGTTGTAGACAAATTTGGTAGCCAATTTGCACATGGTAATGTTCTAGTTTAGTCCTGTAGCTCAGTGGTTAGAGCACTCGCCTTGCAAGCGAGCACCTGGGTTCAATTCCAGGCAGGGCGAAACCTTGGGCAAGTTCCCTTACTCCATACACGTAATAATAATCTCTCCAAAACAAAACAATAATAAATTGGTCATTTTCAATCCACAACTGTTTGTGGGACACTGCTGTGCGCAATTGGCTGCTCACAAATATGAAGTCAGTTCACTTTACAGCATATTCTGTGAAGCGCTTTGAGATGTCGAGAAGACGTGAAAAGCGCTATATCAAATGCAAGGATTATTATTTATATTACAAACAGCCATATAGTGAATGATTAATTTAATTGGATTGTTGGTCTTCTCTTTTTGAATACTGCCACGGGATGTTTAACATCCACCTGATTTGACACCAAATTCCTGCTTTTGTGGTTCTCCTAAGAGTTAAGATGTTCTGAGTCTGGGTTAGTGAGAACCTGCAGTAGTGAGTAGACAAAATTTACGTAAACAGGGACAAAGTATCTTACTGATAATAGACCCTTTCTAGTTATTTCATCTCACTTATGATTCACATCAACTAAAAAACCCCAATAATACATTGTCTCAACAAGTTTCTACTGTATTTCAAAGTAATTAGCAAAAAAAAGTGTGGATATTTGCCAAGGAAGTGAAATTTTCTCTCAGAATTCAATTCTATAGCTCCATAATTGTATTCATTCAAAGCTTTACTGGCAGCTGCAAAATTGACCTTTTCCTTTCATTTGTATCCTTACAAACACTGTAATTTCTAATTCTAGATTGAAAATTTAGAAAGTTGTTCCAAAGGATTTAAAAAATCCTCCTTTGGGGGGGTGGTAAGTGGAGTCTCCCTCGAGCTGAACTGGCTAGGGTAAGTCAGAATCGAGCCAACACTCTGTGGCGGTCTCTGAAGTCCGTTCCTGAGCCAGGTGAGTGTGCGGTCCTGCTCGGGCTCTGCTGTTGACAGCCCAGGCACACCGGCTCAGAACTTAGAAAATTGGAAGTGTACACTCGCATATGTGACTGATGTTGCTTCCTGAGTCCATGCGCAAGAAGCTCTACTTATGTTACTTCCTGAGCCATTTTTTTGCACTCTCTTATAATGTGAGGGCCTAAGAGATTGGATCCATACGAGCATATTGTAATGGCTTTGCCCTGTGCAATGAATCCTTATAACTTTGTAATACATTGTGATTTCAGCATATGTATAACATCTACAGTGAATGCATTTTACTCTAGTGGAGGTTTTGTGTTCCTGTTGCACAGCTTAGGGCTGAGTGGACCCAATGGGCTTTGAATTCTGATCCGAAGACAAGTGCTCAACCAATTGACCTACCTGGGAATTTGCTGTAGGAACTAAATTTCTCAGCTACCAAGGAGACAGTTACAAAATATTTTCCATTTTTTTCCCTCGCTATTTGTTTCCCTTATTCCTTATTGCAGGATAGGAAATTGAGATTTTCAAAAAATAAATGATTAAAGGGAATAGAATGAAAATGTTAGTAAGCAGTGAAGATTTTCTTTCTGGGGTTTGACTTGTAACTTCCATTTTGTATTTTGTCACTGTAGATTCTAGGATGCATAAATTTTAGTTGAACTGCATAGAGCCTTCAGCCTGCTGGAAAGAAACATCATCAGAATACATACAAGGAATCTGTGTGTCAGGGGCTAAGAGTTGAGTTATAAATCCCAGTTACTGTCATGCCAAACCACTATTCTGTTAAATGATCCATATCCCACTGAAGGTCCAATATATGTCTTTATGACATTTTTTTCAAAACAAATGTTCAGAATTCTATCTTATTCCATTTTTTTCTAGGGTAAATGCCCAGAAGATGGATGGGAAGAGAGTACCATTGAACTGTTTCTACATGAGCTGGCTATTATGGATAGTAACAACTTTCTTGGTAATTGTGGAGTTGGGGAGAGGGAAGGAAGAGTGGCTTCAAACTTAGTTGCTCAAAGGCACTACAGGTACAGTCAGATATTCTCTCTGTTTGCTTTGTGTGTTCCCATCTGAGGCACCCCAATAGAGCACTTGCCATATCAGCTCCATGTTGCCAAAGAAAACCTCACCTTGCATTGCTTATTATCAGATTTGAATTGTGTGTTACTGTGGCTACACTAGGTTCTATTTGAGTTGGGAATGTGTTCTTAATCAAAATCGATTTCCATTAAATATTTTGTTAATGCCACATATGGTACATTCCTCACTCAATGCGAATATAGTAAGTTATATATGAAAGCCGCAATGAATTTTTGGCCAGTGAAATAAATGGCTAGGCTTAAAGGCAAGCTAAAACATCCAAACAATTAGATTATTCTTGACTGATCTCCTGAGTATTATCTCATATTCTTGCAATGACATCATAATATTCCTTGCCCTATCATCTAGCCAAAATGTCACAAAGTAATTTACAGGATTTACTGTAAAGTGTATTGACTATGTTTTTATAGGCAACTGCGGTTGCCATTTTGCACTCAGCAATGTCCCACTAACAGGAATGACATGAATGAAAGTAAATATCCCTTGCATTTGATCAATTTTATCTGTGGGATTATTGGGCAAAACACAGGGAGAAACTCCCTTCTCTTTTCGAATAATGCCGTGGGATCTTTAGTGGCCAGGTAAGAAGATAGACAGGACCTCAGTTTAAAGTTTCATGTTAATCATGAGCTCAAAGTCCCAATGTGGGGTTTGAACCCATAGCCTTCTGACTCGGAGGTGAGAAAGCTACCAACTGAGCCAGGAGGACGTTAATTTTAAAAGACCTCAACGTGACTCTGCATGATGGTTTTATGTTAGAGCATTAATAGAAACATAGAATATTTTTAAACAGAAAGGCATGATTCACCTCATTTATCTGTGCTACAGCTACCTTATTAATTAATCACACTTTCCCTTTCTCCATGTCCCTTAATGATTTTTACTGCTCAGGTGCTTATCCAGTTCTCTTTTAAACAATTCTATTGATTAAACCTCAAAAGCCACTTATATCAATGCTCTCATGCCCCTTTAGTATCTTAAATAGGACTGTTTGCACACAGGTCGTGTACGCCACATATGTATCCTTTATGGATTTGGATCCCAACTCTACCTTTCCTCCTCTACTCTCAACTCCACGACCACCGATGTCCTGACAGCCTGCCTGTCCGACATCGAGTCCTGGACGAGAGACAATTTTCTTCAGCTCAACGTGCGAAAAACCGAGGCCCTCCTGATTGGTTCGCGTTAGCGCCTCCGCACCTCAGGCGCCGACACCATCAGCATCCAAGGCTGCACTCTCCACCTCTCAAAGCCAGTCAGGAACGTTTTGTTCGACCCTGAGCTGTCCTTTCTCCCTCACATCCGCACCACAACTGGCACCGCCTTCCATCACCTCCGGAACATCGCCAGACTACGGCATTACCTCACCCCTCACGCTGCTGAAACCCTGGTTCACGCCTTCGTCACCTCAAGGCTGGACTATGGAAACTCTCTCCTCGCCGGCCTTCCCGGCACCTCCCTCCACAAGCTGCAGGTCATTCAGAACTCTGCAGCTCGTGTACTGTCCCGCACCAGGCTTCGGGACCACATCACTCCCACCCTCGCTCACCTCCACTGGCTCCCCATCCCCCAGAGGATTGATTTCAAGATCCTCATCCTCACCTACAAGGCCATTCACGGCCTTGCCCCCTCCTACCTCTCCAACCTACTATCACCCTACCTACCTGCCCGTACCCTCCGTTCCTCCGGCTCCGGTCTGCTCCACATCCCCCGCCCCAACCGCCCTACCATCGGTGGTCGGGCCTTCAGCCTCTCAGCCCCGAGGCTCTGGAACTCTATCCCCCAGTGCCTTCGCCGCTTCCTCCCTTTCCTCCTTCAAGGCCGGTCTCAAAACCTTTCTCTTTGACCGAGCCTTCAGCTCCCCTCGACTCTCTTCCCCCTTCTCGCTCCCTCCCTCCCCTCACCCTGACCATTTCCCCCCTCCTCTCTCCCTCCCTTCCCTCCCCTCACCCTGACCATTTCCCCCCTGCTCGGGTCATGACCCAACTGTGCAGCGCCTTGGGACGTCCTCCTGACGTGAAAGGCGCTTTATAAATGGAATCTTGTTGTTGTTGTTGAGCTCCTGGGGATGCACCGGGGAGGCTTCCTCTGAGCCATCTGCAAATTCCAGGATCAAGCAGTGAGGTGGATTTGTGGCAAACACAGGAAGTGGCTGTAGGAATGGGGGCGGGGGCTCCAGCCTACACTGACCTGTCACTAAGCACCCTGGAGGTGAAGTCAGCTTCACAGCGGTCACGTCTATTTACCAAGGCCCCTTGCATGAGGTCCTGGATTAAGCAACTGGTGCTGTGTAACCCGGGTATATGGCATTGGACTTGAACTGCGAGAACATCAAGGTGGCTGGATGTTACAAGCTGTTCTGTAAAGGTCCTTACACCACACTGAAGGCGGCTGCCTGCCAGACAGCTGATGAGGAAACTCTGAGACTTGGGGCAATAGGTGCTGGAAGGAGTTACCTGGAGTCTGAGTTCACGAACGTCCAGCACATGGAATCCACCTTGATTTGCTGCAGGGAGGCAAGCAGCTGCTGCTTAAACTCCACACCTCAAATTGATGGAATAGGAAGGGACATGTGCACGAGCTGCAGACGGGAAAATGGTTACAATGCTATCACCCGTTTCATGCTGAGATGCAGGGAGTTCCTTGTACCTACCATCCACCTAGTGAGGCTCAAACCCATACTTATCGGATGTCAAACATCCAACTAGTAACTATTCTCCTTGGGGAGGTAAGTGAGGTCTCCTTGGAGCTGAAGGTGACTTACCTGACAATGGAACGTAGGAACCAAGCCATCCCTCTGTGGTGGTCACGGTAGTCTGGTTCCTGAGCCAGGATTGTCCGCAGTATTCCAGGACACTGCTGATGACAGCAGAGCCATCCTGGTTCATTGGCAAGACCTGGAAGAGCAGACCAGTCACTGGGGGCATGGAGTCATCACACTCAGCTCATGTTAACTCTGCAAACCACAGCCCTAATGGGTAGGGAAGTCCTAGCTGGACAAGCAGTGGAAAAGCTTGCCAGACAGCAATATCAATGGCAAGCTATGTATTTTTAAAAAAATCTTAAATAGGATATATGTGAGGATACTTTGTATTGATTTTATATTAATTTTACATAAATGTTATATCAATTTTACAAAACATTAATCTCTAATGGGAATATATCTGTCTGATAATTTTCTCTGGTGAACAGCAGCTGAAATTACATTGATATAAGCGGTCTAAGCTGAAATATATCTTGCGCTATCATTTTGACTTGAGGATTCATTTGTACAGTCTTAGGAGGCTGATGATTTTGGCAGAGATGATCTTTTAATTTTTGTGCTTTGAATTAAGAGTTTGTGTGTAACAATTTTAACTATACCTCTAAATAAACAATGTGTAGCACTGTTAGGTTTCAATAAGTCTAACTTTTCACAAACTGCCAACAGTTTTAAGATTTGAATTTGTGTTGCCTTAATTTAGATTTATGCATGGGATCGGGCGATCAGGAGACGTTGCTGCTATTCAACCCAAAGCAGCAGGATCCAGCCTCATGAACAAACTCACAAATTCGATAGTGCTGGACATTCTTAGAGTGGCAGGTTTGATCACATTTTTGCAAAATTATAGTGTCCTTTTTACGCAGTCATAACAAGGAATATAGTATCTGATAACAATAACCTTACATTTGATATAGCGCCTTATCATGTCTTCAAGATGTCTCAAAGCGCTTCATAAAATATACTGTAAAGTGAATTGACTGGATATTTTGTGGGCGAAATGCAGCAGCCAATTGTGCACAGCAGTGTCCCACAAACAGTCATGGACCTAGTGACCAAATTCTTATTTTTTTTTAAAGAAATTATTACTCCCGGAAAAGCGATCCGCCAATCGACTAACAACTAGGTTCCTACTTACTAGGCAAACCGAGGCTTGTGGAGTAAGGAAACTTGCCCAATGTCTCACCTGATAAGTTGTTAATAGACAACTGGAATCCCACTGCAATTGTTCATTATAGGTTTGCAATGCCAAGGTTGTTAAATCACGTCTTATGTCAGGTATTATGCCGATTGGTGGCTTGGGTTGACTTTTGCAGTTTGGATGATACTATAGTTTGATAACTGAAGGTGACCCTAGAAGGTAGGAAATAAAGTTTAAAAGGTTGACATGACTTGGTTTTTATCCTATCTCACCTCGTACAACCAAAGAATGTCAGAAGGTGGATTTGTTTCTTCCTACTATTTCTAACACAATGCATTTCCAAACTCTGTCTTGGGAGGTATAAAATGGGGCAAGTCAAACTCATGTTGCTTCTGTTCTTTTGAAACAGATGCAATTGGCAGAGGAGTGTGGCCCTCTCAATTGTGGAATGTTATGTTATTTTCAGTATCTAAGAAGGAAAGAAAGGGAGGTGGAGGGAAAGGAATAATAATTCAGGTGTTCAAATCATATTGATCTCAGTTCAGACTCACTCTTCATTAATTTTAAAATAATGCTGGAGAACATTTTGACAGCTGTTATTACTTCTGTGACCACCAATCCTCCCCATAGCATTACAAAAAAGAATTTCTGAGCCAGTCTCAGACCTTGTGGTCCCTGGGGGAATTGTATAATGGTGAAGTTATAAACGCTATGATTTATGGTTTCTTCGTAAATTATTAATGAGTGCCAGTGAAACGGATGGGGCTGTTTGTCACTGCAAAAAATATTTTTTACAAAATAAAAATTAACTCAGTTCAAAAATAGACATTTGCTTCCTTTTTATGTTCTGTAATATGAGTTTAGTAATATTGTTTACAAGTGTACTTCAGCAATAACTTACCACATTTGGAAAATTGCAGTGAAAATGTTTTGTGTGTATGTGGATAAACTGAAACAGATTGCAAACCCATTGAAATGAATAGTTTTTACAATGAGACAGATTGCACCTCATTAAGATTAATGGAGCTGTACTTTTTTATCAAATAGATGTAACTGAGATGCACAGAAACTAGCTCAAAATTTTTCACAAAAAATATTCAGCCTTGCTCATCTGCGTTTTCATTAAAATATCATCAATACTGCACAGAATTCAAGAACCAAATAGTAGGTGATTTTATTAATTTGGATTCAAATTAATGATTTTCTAAACTAGCTTTAATAAATAATAATAATCCTTGAATTTGATATAGAGCCTTATCACATGTCGAGACTTCTCAAAGCGCTTCACAGTATATATTCTAAAGTGTAGTGACTGTGTATTTTGTAGGCAAGCGAGGTAGCCAAGTATTAGTTAATAAAAGCTCATAAATGTACTGTTTAGAACATGAAAGCATACAGCATTGAATAAAAGCAAGTCATTTTGGTTATTGGAGCTAACATGATCTCTACCCCAGTTATTTAATCATTTGAGGAAAGATCTGCAATATTTCTCCTTGTCTCCCGGAAACTCAGTACTCCACAATATCTACAATATCTGCCATTTACTCCTCCATTATTCATACCTGACCAATTTCCTTCCAGCAATGTCATTAATTGTGTATAGTCACTGATGCAATGCGCAGCTCTGTTGCAGCACTGCCGAATTATTTAGGCTCATCAAAAAATATTTCATACATTTTTATAATAGGGTATTAAATAGGCTGCTGAGAGTCACACAGCAGTAACCCATCAAAGCATTCAAGTGACACGATAAACACAAGAGCACAGCTTGTGCTGTAAGAAAGCATTTTCTAAACTCACAAAAAGTGCCTTTCGTCCTTGAAATGTAGGTTGATTTGCGATGTACTAGATAATATACACAGTTTAAATTCCTAGAGCTCTCATTTTGGTTATTTTTCTTCTTTTGTTGGTAGCTCATGTAATAGAGACAAGTTTGATCCCAAATCTGCACTGAGTAAGCTGATCTCAGCCTGAGCTCTTATGAGCTGTTATCTTTCACATTAGAAGTTGGTTCCAACTTTAGGTTCACTTTGTTGGTGAGCAGTATTGCAGAACTTGCTAACATTCATTGAACTGCTTATATTGCCAGGTGTTCGAACTCTTTCCAGCTGCTTTGTTGTACCAATGGCAACAGGCATGAGCCTGACACTTTGTTTTCTTGCATTGAGGCCGAGAAGACCGAAAGCCAAGTTTATCATTTGGCCAAGAATTGATCAGAAGTCATGCTTCAAATCCATGATCACTGCAGGTAAGAAAGTTCTAATATTATTGTGTTATATGATTGTATTAACTGTTTACTGACTTGGATTGAGAGGCTTTGATAGAAATGATTCTTCTTTCATTCCTACCCCCACTCCCCACCACCTCTTACTAAAACTTACACTTTAACTATTATCCCTTTGGCACTGGTTCTGCATAATTCAGGTGAAATAAGGAGCCAAAAGCAACGCATGATTGAAGCTACATACCGTTATTGTGCACTGATAACTCAGAGGTATTAGGTGATGTTCACAAAGTGTAACAAACTTTCTCTACATGCTTACATTGGGATTTTTCCATGATGTCTACCATGATGAAAGATTCCCTACACTGGGTGAACGCAACATAATGACCCCAGAGTGTACCTTGCACGTGTAAAGAGTCGATGTGAAGCCAAAGTAACTATATATATGTGGGAAGGGTGGTGAGGATGACCACAATACCAAATGATTTCCCTTTGTCCATAAACAGACAAGATGGGAGTAGTTTGTGTATTGTCTAATCTTCTGTTCTGTCAGGTGCACTTAAACATTAACTTCAAATGTTGTATTGAATTTTAAGCTGACCCGATAAAGAGCTTCTTTAAAATGCATATTGCATGAGATGGATATTGTACTTACATATGTAAATGAATCTATGAGTTGTAAATTCTGACCTTAATTTATATTCCAAATGTGACTAAATTTGTTTGAAGCCCTCAGCGAAAAAACTTTTTGCCAACACTGATGTACCATTATGGATTAAAAGACCCCAATAATCTATACTGTGATAGTGATACAAGTTTGGTAATGTTTTTGTAGTTTTCCAATGAAGTTTGTACGACTGTGTATTCTCTCTTTGGGACACTGACTTTTTAATTCACTTCTACAACTTTATTTGTCAATCCTTGTCATCAGTGGTCTGTTTTGTTAGTTAGAAAGCCATGTTTTTCCATGATGATTGAGTGCTGGTGAAATCTTAAATGTGTCTGGGTGAATTACACCAACCACTGATTTCCACACGTATTTGTATTTCTGGGTCAGGGTTTGAACCTATAGTGATTGAGAATCTGCTGGAAGGAGACGAATTGCGCACAGATCTGCAGACTGTGGAAGCCAAGATTCAAGAGCTCGGGGCAGACAACATCCTTTGTGTACATTCCACTACCTCTTGCTTTGCCCCCAGGGTCCCTGACAGGTAAAGTATTGCTCTGTTTATTTCAAGTTAGCTTAACTGTATAACATTTTTACACAGTGACCTGGCACTGTAATCTCAGTTCATCAATTTAACCCTTACTGGTGGAAGAGCAAAATTTTGTTCCTTTGATGTGTCGCAGATATTTCACCCACCACACCATAGGAAACCTTAGACAAAACAATATAGAATAATAATAATCTTGGCTTTGAGACGGTACCTTTTTTGATAGGAGGTCGTCTCAAAGTGTTTCACAGGATTTATTGTAAAAATGTATTGACTTTTCATTTTGTAAACAAATTTGGCAGCCAATTTGCGCACAGCAATGTTCCATAATCTAGGAGATTGTTGGCCAGGATACCGGGGGAAACTCCCTTTTGTTTTTAGATAATGCGATGGGACCTTTAATGTCCACCTGAACAGGTAACAAGATTTTAGTTTAACTTTGGAAGGACGACACTTCTGACAATGCAGTGCTCCTTCCCCCCCTCCACCCATCACACTGTTTTGGAGAGTCAGCTTACACTGTGAGTTGAAAGTTCTGACTTTAGCCCAAACCTGCTCGATTACCTGCAGTCCACCACACACAATACCAAACTGTAGATTACAGAACTCTAAGATCAAAATGCATGCTGAGTAAAGATCTTATTTCCATCAGTGAATAGTACAACCCAACTTGGTGCAAAATATGTAAGATCCTCAATTTGTACATCTGTAATAGCCTTATAACTTGATTTGCATCACCTAACTTGAAAAGTGAAATATTTGCGACGTTTAATAGAGTAAGACACTTACAGATCAGAGGAACACAATTTCCAATAATCAGGCTAAAGACTATTGGCTTAAAACTTAAGTGTGCACATTTTGGAGAATTCATAAATTCGGCCTTCTAAGAATATGAGGAAGTTTAGGGTTGAACTGTATTGATATGACAAATATCCCATCATTTTTTTTAAAAAACTAAACATGCTTACTCAATTTATATGTCCTTGCTTCTGTTGTTGCAGACTTGAAGAATTGGCTAAGATTTGCTCAAAATATGATATCCCCCATATAGTCAACAATGCTTATGGTGTACAGTCATCCAAATGTATGCATCTAATTCAGCAGGTATGAATTAAGATTAATTCAGATACTGTGATTTAAGAACTATTTTATCTGATGGTTTTAGAGAAAGTGACCTTGACATGTCCTTCTTACTTAGGTATGTACAAGATCATTGATCACCAAGAATCCTTTTGTGAGATCATGTGTAGGGGTGTAGTTATATATAGAATCACACAGTATTATAGCACATGGACCATTTGACTCTTCAACTCTGCATTGGTGCATTTCTCCTCAGGAGCCACCTAATCTCCAAGACGGTACCCTGTGTGAAGCTGTTGTTGTAATCTAATCCTACTCTTCTACTCATTCCCCTATACATTAATATCCCTTTATTTCTTGAAAAAAAATCTATAAAATTCCCTTATTAAGGACTTTCTGAACTCTGCTCAAAAACAGTTTGTGGCAGAGAATTTCACACTCCAACCACCCTCCTGTGTGAAGAAACTTTTGACAGTAACTGGCTGAGTAGTAGATTTAAATATCTGAGGCAATAAAGAAATAAACTGTAATGTAATAATTAGGCAGAATTGAGCAGATGTTTTGTTTTAACACTTTGGATCTGTAGATTTTAATAGATTTCGCTAAACAATCACAGATCAGGTACAGCAGAGCCAAGCAGACAGATCTCCTTCTACTCTGCAGCAACAAAATGCATTTATCTGTATTGCACCAGATTTCCACAGATTAACTATCCTTGAGGCTTTTCTAAGTAAGGATAGCTATTTATTTTTGCAAATTGTGGCCTATTTTGTGTTGAGGACCCACTTGTCACAGAATTGAACCACTTGCCCCAGATCCTTTCTCCAGTAAAGGAGAATGTCATCCCTTCATGTAGCTTCAAAATACAATACAAATTTACATTTATATAGCATCTTTCACATTGGGAGGACATCCCAAGGTGCCGAATAGCATAAGGTTTGCATCCGAGCTGGGCCGGGGGGTGCAAGGGGGTAAAGATGTCTGAAAGCATGGTCAAAGAGGAAGGTCTAGAGGTGGACCTCGAAGGAAGAGAGAGAAGAGATTCCAGGATGGAGTTCCAAAGAGTGGGGCAGATACGCTAAAAGCATAACCACTGATTCTTTTTTTGGGGGTCTGATACATGCAGAAACCCATCACTGTGCTTAAGAGTATCCAAACCAAGCTGAGATTTCCGTGCATCCCACCTACACATGAAAATCCCAGAGATAGATTATTGGAATGGAATGCACACTCTCTCCCTGAAGGGATGTATCCTGCTTACATAATTCCGGAAAATATTAGGTGCAGGTTGGCAAGAGCCAAGGCTTGGGGACCCCAGAGTGTGTGTTGGGGTGCTGCTGGAGTCTATCTAGCTAAAACCATATAGCTTGCCATTGATATTGCTGTCTTGACCAGCTAGGACCACCCTACCCTTTAGGGCTGAGTGGGATGAATCCCAGCCCCCAGTGACTGGTCTACCCTTCCAGGTCCTGCTGCGCTGTCATCAGCAGTGTTTTGAAATACTGTGGACCCGCCTGTCTCAGGAACCAGAATACCAAGACCACCACAGAGGGCTGACTTAATACTGACATTCCGTTGCCTGCCATGTCACCTTGGAGCCAGTTCAACTCCAAGGAGACCCTGCTAACCTCCCCGCCTAAGGAGGATATATTATTAAGAAGAACAAGGAGGCACAATGAATTTATTCAATAATTACTTGGGGTGACTTTGTGCCTGATTAGCAAGCTATCTTTGTGCAACTCTTAGAATCAAGGAACAATTACAGCAGAAATGAGGCCATTCAACTCTTTGTATTTATAGTAGTTTTTGTTCTCCACCCCTCAACCCCACTAGATCAATCTGCTTTTAATTCCATTCCCCTCCTCTCCAGACAATTTTGAGACATCTTTGGAGCCTAAACTGAATTTGATAATCAGACATGATTTCAACAAAACGTCATTGCATCTCAATGCAGCTGTGAAATTGCTGGTTCGTTCACCAGTTAGCTGACTGATAAACTTGTGGCTGATAACAGAGGATTTGTGCACAAAATATAAAGTCTTCTCAGCCGTGTGTTCATTACCGAGTACAATGAATATTAAGTGTCCGGCACATCTCTTGTTATTATTCAAATTAATTAATAAAGTGTGAAAGATTATAGACTCGAGTTCTCATTAAAATATGCTATTTAGGAGCAAGATGGAGGGATGTTGGGCTGTGAAGTAGTGCAGAGAGTCTTTTCAGTTTATAACCCTTTATATGATTTTTACTGTATTGCATGTTTTTACTTTCCGTCAGCGATTGGCTTTAGCTGTGTTAGCTTTTACAGCTGGATTCTTTGGAAGTACAGCACATTAAAGCATTTCGCACCAACAGCATTTTCACTCTTACAAAAACAATTCATTGTTGTTCCAAAGCTCTTCAGCTGCATTTTGAAGCTCAGTGCTGTCTTTTATATATAAAAAAACAACCTGTGAACAAAGCCTTGGAGCTTCTACAACCTGACAGTGCATACATTAAAGGCTTCTATCTTGGTCTCTGGTCATGGGTAAAGTTATGGGTGTAACACTTGAGAGACAATGTTCTCATGAAATGCGAATAGCTAAATAGATTAAAGCTGGCTGTGAAGCAAGATGACAGAGCAAGGATCACGGTGTTCTGCTCAGAACAACAGTGAAAAAGAGATCGAAAGAGAAACATGGAAATGTTAGAAATGTGAAATTAAAAAAAACACACACAAAATGCTGGCAATGCACCGGATCTCAAAGTGAAAGATGGGTTGACATTTCCAGTGCAACCTTTCATCAGAACTGGAGCTAACAGACTGGAGAGGCCCCCTATTATAGGACTGGAAAGTACAAAATGTCCTGCCAAAGAAGACAATGCCATGCTTACTGAATAGTAAATTTCCATTTCCTCAAGTTTTCTTCTTGTCCCTTGCTTAATGCCCTCGTCACTCAAGAATCTACCTATTTCCTTTTTAAATGTCACAGTAAAATTCTGATTCAATTCTGATAGAAATAATCATTAAATAAGTTGTCACTGGAAATCCCGATTGCAACATGAAAGGTGGAAATTTGATTCTTTTTCAATGAATGGGTAGAAATTTTTCGCCCAGAATTGCTTTGCAAATTAGTGGCATGTTTTAACGGGATTAACTGCCAGGAATTCTTAGTCCTATTGTTCAAAAGTCTGCTGGCTAAGCCAGAATACTTAATAAGTGTTGGCTACAGATCAAATATTCCACTGGGGCAAGATAAGCAGAAACTAGTTTTAAAGAGACAGTCTCGTTCTCATAGATTCCCTCTTTTCAAATCACACCTTTAAAAATATAGTTGATTCATTCCACTTCCTACTATTTCAAAGTTTTCCTTTTACCGATATTACTTTTAAACATTCTTGTACTGAAGATTTCATTGGAAAGATTTTATTTGGGGGAATTACAACATTGAAGAGCAAGGGAGCTGAATTAGATATTATCAGGTGTTTGTACATCTCCCTCAAACTGTTGGCTCAATATCTTCACCAAACCAGTTTCCATGACTGTGCAGTCAACCTTTACTGTGTAAGATGAAAGACTGTAAATGTCAGCCAAAAAGTAGACAAAAATAATGCAATTTAAAGGGAAGATTTTTTTTAAAGTTTGCAGGTTTTGCTTATGTATAAAGAGAGGATTGTTAGAATGTGGAAACTTTACCAGAAATGGTGGTTAAAGTTAAATCCAAAACAGCATTTAACATGCAGCTGCTATAAATACTTGAAGAAAATTATACTAAAGATATAGGGAGAAATTTAGTGGAATGGAATTACAGTAGACATTACAGTAGATGGGGAGCTAGTACCAGTAGAGACCCAATGGGCCTTTTGTGCTATAATTTTTCAAAGATTCATTCTGATTTTAAAAGGCTACAAATGAGAAATATCTTGTTCAATATAGTTAGAATCTGAGCATGCTTTTTAAATAAATTGCCCCCGGTATCTCCTTTTTATTACTTTTAACTTTAAATTTTTTTTCTCTAGGGAGCACGTGTCGGCCGAATAGATGCTTTTGTTCAGAGTTTAGACAAGAACTTCATGGTTCCAGTAGGTGGTGCTATCATTGCTGGCTTTGATGATGTCTTCATAAAGGAAATCAGCAAAAGTTATCCAGGTAATTAAGTGCTATCGCTCACAACTGATGAAATTAAGTTAAATGCAAGGTCGTATTGAGATGACTGCTATTTTAGTTTCAATCTTGTTGTAGTTTCAATTTGTGTCAATATCAACTGCAAGACAAAGTGTATATCTGAAACTCCCTTTAAGGATCTTTAGCCTAGATCTGACCATGATTTTCTCTGAATTTAGGGTAAAGAAACAGTCTGTTCAATTTAGAAAATGGTTAAGTTCAGGAGCTTAGCCATGAGTGATCTTTTCTACCGTGAGGAATATCAAGCCTCCAATATTAAATGTGTTGGCAATATGAAGTAATATATTGGGCAAAGTTACTTATTAAAAGTGTTTTTTTTCCACTTCTAATATTTTAAGGGCTCAAAGCCACATTTGTCGAATGTTAAATGACCGACTAGTGACTGTGCCTCTGGTGGAGAGAGGAGTGTCTTTGGAGCTAAACAGTTTGGCAGAGAATGTCAGAATCAAGCCAATCTCTGGTGTTGGTCTTGGTAGTGTGTTTCCTGAGTGAGGCGGGTCCGCAGTATTCCAGGGCACTGCTGATCAAAATACAACAACAACAACAACAAATTACATTTGTATAGTGTCTTTCATGTCAGTAGGAGTTCCAAGGTGCTGGTGCATTGTACTGGCTCATCGGCAGGACCTGAAAGGGCAGAATGTCACTGGGCGCAGGGAGTCATCCCACTCAGCTCCTGTTAACCCTCCAAGCCAAAGCTCTAATGAGTAGGGAGATCCGAGCTGGACAAGCAGTGGGAAAGCTTGCCAGACAGGCCTACGTGGTTTTAGTTGGTTAGACTCCAGCAGTACCCCAATGCACATCTGGGGTCCCCAAGCCTTGGCTCTTACTGACCTAACCCTAATCCTTTCCAGAATTAGGTAAGCAGGATGTGTCCCTCCAGGGAGAGAAGGCGTATTCCATTCCAACAATGTAGGTGCGATGCATGGAACTCTCAGTTTGGTTGGATAATCTTAAACATGGTGGTTAGTTTCTGCACGTGTTAGACTGACCAAAAAACCCAAATATTTTGAGTATCTCCCTTAGTATAGAAGGTATTCTTATTTCAGACAGTGGCTGATAGTTGACGGTTTGACATGGTGGAAGGGAGGAGAGTTGCTAATGGCCCCAGCAGAGGAAGCCTCTTCGCCGAGCTGATCTCATTATATGTAGATTTCCCATTCATGAACTTGTAACAGGCCACACTCCTAGTAAAGGTTAATGGATATCTTAGAAGTTTGCTCTTCCTAATTCTCCTCTCCTGAAGTCTGAGATACTGAAGCTATGTGTAGCAACTCCAGTGTCCACTTGACTGAAGACCATTTTGCCTATGAGCCTAAGCTGCTCAGAGATCAACCACTGGAACAACTACTGTGAGCACAATTCCTTCTTTCCTTGTATCCTTTTATATTCTCTCTTTTCAGATATTTATTCAATTTCCTTTTAGATGTTATTATGGTCTTAACCTCAATAGTCAGATTGGTTAACTTAATAATAATAATCCTTGCATTTGATATAGCATTTCTATATTTGATATAACTTAACCCAGACCAGTGATTACATGTTGGGTTCCTGATCTGTGGGATCAGTATAACATCTGGTGATGTGTCTACCACTAAACCATGGGGGAGGTGTGCATATTTTTAATAATGAGAAGCAATTCAGTTCAGGATGAAGGAATCAAAATGTCTCTTTGCTTTCTAGGCAGAGCTTCAGCATCACCCTCAATGGATATTCTGATTACATTGCTGTCGCTGGGTGTGAACGGTTATAAGAAACTTCTAAAAGAAAGAAAGGTGAGTCCAGTATGTCCCAGCCCAGAAACACATGCTTACGTAGTATTCTATAATCTTTATATATTAAAATGCTGCACAGTTGAAAATGATGTTAGACGTTGCACCTCTCTGATGCACTTTGTGTGCCTCTTTTCCCGATGCGTTGTGTAACTAATTTTATAGCTATCCAGTACTTATGCTTCCATCCCTCTGACCTTTAAAGAGTGTAAAAGAGGAGCCAAGTTCAGATGTTACATTCTTAAAATCACTGAGTTTTCAATCTTTCAATTTATCTTATGCATTTTTCATCAAGGTGATAGTTGCCCGAATTGGGGAAATTCGAATACCCAAGGGTTTACCCAAAGGCTTCACAAATTCGAGGACCCAGATTTTATTCCTGGCCAGGGTGATGCCTAATGCAAATTTCCTTACTCCACACGCCTGTTTACTGAGCAGTAAGTAGCTACCCGATTGTTGGTTGATTAGGGATCACATTTCTGTGGATAATAATCCCTTAAAATTAATAATAATTTGGTCCCTGTTTGTGGAACATTGCTGTGCGCAATTGGCTTCTGTGTTTCGCCCATCAAATATACAGTCAAATCATTTTACAGTATGTTCTGTGAGATGCCTTGAGACATCTCGACAACTTGATGAGGCGCTATATCAAATGCAAGGATTATTATTTATTATATCTATATGGTCATGTTTGCCCTGGTTCGCAGGTTGTGTTTTCAAAGCCAGACCAACTTTGGGGAGACTAGTTTACCTCCTGCTCTGGGGCATGAGGCCCTGAGTGGGTCTTTGACCGCTTTCATCAATATTTTGCAAGAAAATTTGGAAAGCCTGGAAAAATCCAGTGTAATTTCAGTCTCGCCATATCCCAAACAAATGAGGTCATGAGAGTTACATTTTTTGCTGCAGATAGACCCAGCGGTGATTCACAGAGACTGGAGAAGAGGATCCCTCTGGAATGCTTCCACCATTACTGAGGGTGTATTAACAGTCAGGTCCAATTTGCTCATCAAATACTTGTGTCCAGATTGAGATCACTTGGTGATGGAATGCAGCCGCTATCACTAGGGGTTTCAGAAAAAGTTAAGTAGGCTCCCAGTTGTGTGACTATTGGGAACAGATTCTCCCCCACAGTGGCCTTGTCTGTATCTGGCACAGACTCCTGTCTTTCAAGTCGGTGCTAGTACTGAGCTCTCACACAACCCTAAAGTACTGGCTGCTGGAGCCACCTCAGACAGGAGTGAGTTCACAGCAGCTGCCTTACCAGATTCATCTGTTACTGATGGGGAAATGTTAAATACAACTGACAGCGTTATTAGGAACAAATTCTGTATGTGGGAATAAAATGACACAATAATTATTCTAATCCCTGATATTCTACAAATGTCCTGATTTTGACCATAAGTCCAGGTCCGGGCATCATATTTGTTCCCAAAATAGACATGCATTTATCAGGTTTCTGCTGTGACGACCTTATTTGCATCAGATGAAGAGGATTTACTGCATTGAAACGCCTGGTGAGATTAATCATGTCATAAATCTTCCCATAAGCTATACTAGGAATTGTAAACTGCTGCAAGAAAAATATGGACAAGAATATTCTGTTTCAATCAGAAATTATTTTGATATATTAATCCAGATGGCCATCTGCAGAAACACTATGGTTCTGTCATATCAGTTCTCTATATTGTTTTAAAATTGACTTTGGCAGCCTTCTTAGATTAGTAGGCAGAACATAAATGTTCAACTGGAATAATCATGTGCTATCCCATTAGAAAATAGCTGACTTCAAAGTTATTGCAGTGACAAGTAGATGCAAAATCTAATCGAGGTATTGCAGCTGGTCAGAGCCTGGTTCAAAAGAGTTGAGAATAGAATCTGATTGCACACAATCTGAATTTAAAAATAGATCTGGGACTGAATGCTTGCACACAATTTTTAAAGGTGAATTTTTGTGTAGCCATGAGAAAATTAGGTTATATTTTTCTTGTCATTCTACAATTGCCCTTTGGCATTCCCGAGTTAGAAGAGGAAAACATTGCCAGAGTTTCAATTTCTGATTGTTATTCTGCTGGAAGTCTGTGTGTGCCGGTCAGGACAGAGTTAGACATGGACCTTACCAATGACAGAGTTAGGCATGGATAGAAGTAAAGGACCCTGCGTGTGTGTGTGAACTCTCAGTATCGGAAAAGATTAACATATGGACGTGGTCACTTGAGCAAGGTATTGCAGATTCAGCACAAGTGAGTTGCCTTCAGGAGAGAAGTAAGGGGAGAAAATGGTAAGGAAATTAGATTGAAAGGTGGGCAGGATGAATATTATATTGCTCAAGAAAACTGCCATTGGGAGCATAGACAATTTGCTGAACCTGCTAATAAATCTCTTTTTTGATTTTGACAATTTCTCTGTAGCAATTGTCTCTTGTTCTCTTCTTTCCTCAAAGCACCTCATTTGTATTCATGCATGAGGCTTGACAGCGACTATTATTAGGCCATGGGCTGTTCATCACATCTGAGTCTGATCCAACCTCTAGTAGGAGTCACTGGGACACATAGAAGGAACCCGAGCTGTTATTTCCCTCCCTTGCCCACTGCTGTCCCTACTTCAGCTGTGGTTGAGATCAGTTCACGAGCACAGACCAAATATCAAAGCTGGCCCCTTCCCGATTTGTATGGATCAGGTACTTACCAGATAAACAAGTTCAACCATTCAGGGATGCTGATCCTTTCAAAAATAATGCATAAGGTTATGTGTGATGCAAATAAGCTTCTATTCTGCAAGATACAAATGAGTGTCAGTACTGAAAAGATTAATGCAGTGGAAACGTTCTTGATTTATGGCGGCTGTCACAGCACTTTACTGCATTCACAGCAGTTCTAACTGTGCAGTAATGCCTGACTAGTTGCAAGTCTGAATGCTGAAAACAGCAAAAAAAAACGACACAGGTGCAGTTAGACCAGCTTGGTCTGTCATTTGCAGATACAAAATAGCTTAGAATAGCATTGAGGTGCCTTGTGACCAGGCAAGGCAAGAAGCCAACTAATTAGCTCCACAAACTAGGGTACTCCATAGCTCATTTTTACACATTTGAGAAATGTATGCATCTGTGAAATCCTCCACCATGAACTCATTCAAACAATAAATCTAACCTTCAATGTGATTAATCAGAAGAACTGGTGTTCACACCCCTTTCTTGAATTAATTGAATACCTGTCTATTCCTTTGAACCCCTCCCTGATGCATTCTGCTGCTGCCATTTTGAAAATGACTTGTTTTCAAAGCATAATGCAAGGAAAAAAGTTCATTGAGGGCTTTTAACCAATATAGTCTCTGCTGAACACTGATGCAAGGGGTGTGTTGTATTGTCAGCAGTGCTGTCTTTCGGCTAAGAAGTTAAACCGAGGGGATGCCCCATATACCTATTCAGGTGGACGTTAAAGATTCTAAAAAAACAAGGGAGTTTATCCCGGTGTCCTAGCCAACAATTCCCCAAATAAAAATTAATTATTCCCTTCACGGCTGTTTGTGTGACATTGTGCAGATTAGCTGTTGAGTTTGTCTGCAAAATATCATTAGGTCATTAGGTTTTACAGTGTGAAATGCTTTAAGGTGCTCTTCTCAGAGTGAAAGGCGTTATACCAAATGCAAGGATTATTTTATATGCACTGATTTCCTTGTTTTGATCTGTAATCTCGTTGCAGTGTTTTGTATTAAAGGCCAAGTCTGAGAGCAGATATTTTATGTGACACCGTAAGGTCCAGTGACATAATTGAAGGGAATAGCCCAAAATCTGTTACCTCCATTGTCCCCGTTCTTGATGCCATGCGAGGGTGGGAGAAGCTCTGCAACTAATAAAATAGTGCAATAGGGTAGATAAAGTCACCAGTAAGTGTGCAGAAAGTTCCTGTTCTAACGACAACAATTTATGTCTGCAGGTATTACCTCCATTTTAATGAATTTTGAAGCTGGAATATATCACAATGTTTAGATTTTATTTTATGTAATCATTGTCCAAAAATTCAATTCAGTTGTCTGCCACAGGAACTAACACCTCAGATAGAAGTTAGGAGATGAAGATGAGGGGGCCTGAGAAATTGCTATGCGAACATAGGTCAATGCCTTCAAGGGAGGAGAGAGGGAAAGTAAAGTTATCAGGTGATGGAGCATGGGCAAGGACATTTTTTGAAAGCAATGAAATATTGTTTATCCTGCTATGTAATTCAGAAGAATACTTCTAAGAGAAGAATAATGTGGGTAGCTTTCATATATACTGTAGTTCAAAACACACAAAAAAAATTGTACATGTACCATTATTAATATTAAGGGGATTTAGCTGTGTGTTTGCTACATTTCTGGTCTGGTTTCATACAATGTCAGGCAGTGCCACTAATGCTCATGAACAGATTGGAAACTCAGCATTTCCTTTGGCTCTAATGCTGTGTGCAGATACGTTGCAAATAGATCCTTTGAAAAGCTTAGGTTGCTGACATCTTTCTGAAGATGGTACAGCAACAATTTGAAATTGGAAACAGATTGTTAGTCACTTAAAAAAATATTGTGAATTTTAAGCTTTCACTGTAAACTGGGACCTGTACATGTAGTTGGGCTTATTTGGCTGACATTCCAGTTGACATTATTGATAGTGCCTTTTGCAATGTTGATCAACAACAACTTGCATTCATAATAGCAACAGTCAAACTGCCAAAAGGGGATCAGGCACTGAACGAGTTGGGGAGGGACAACTGGTAGATAGCCACAGACCATTTAAAGCCAGGATTTAAAGACAGATGGAGAGCGACAAAAAGGAGGGGGTAGAGGAAGGAAGTTCCAGAAGTTCGGAGCATGGAATGTGAATTATTTTTAGCAATCAGTGTATGATAAACCCTTCTGACTGCAGTCTGTTGAATATTTCATAAGGTTGGGTTGAAACTTACATGAGCTAACCTCTTTATTGCAAGTACAAGATTTGCTTGAAGTGTGTATTATGTTAAGTCTGTTGATGCTAAATAATAAACACTGGTATATATTTTAAATGCATCAAGCACACTACAAAACAGCAAACTTGTTTCTCAATGTTATACCTTGTATGTGTCCAATGATATGTCTACGTATGTGAATATTTTTTTCTCATTTTATTTGCCTATCTTGTATTTTCCCTTTTTAAGAAAAAAATGAACTTTGTGGTAGTGTTTTTAATTAATATTGTATTTTAGTTTAATTTGAATTCTGAAGGGACTGTGTCCACCATAAACATTCTTCTTGGTCCTATTTACACAGGATCAATTCCGCTTTGGTTTGTGCAGGGATTCAATTAAGATGAAATGGCACAATTAGATTAATTTTCAAAGACTCATTAAACGTTCATTAACAACGTCATTTACACAGATGTAATGTAGTCAGACAGTCACCATTCTTTATTTAGAATTCATGGAGATTTAATAGCGTGGAAAAGATAAATTGTTGCAATGAAATGCATATTTATTNAAAAATAATTACCGATTACAGAACGACACTATAAGGAACATGTTCTGCTGGAAATATGCAGTCAGAGGTCCTTGAATCAAGCAAGTGATTGATTGAAGGTTTTACGTTTTTAGAGGTGTGGCAGTAAATCAATAAATACAAGTAAAGATTTGGATAAAAGGGACACCCACAAGATGCAGTGCTTACATTTTACTGTGCTGCAGGTTATTACAACCTCCAAGCCCTGGGAATGTGACTCATGCAGTGATGTGAATAGCATTTTATTCCCTGATGTAAATGTTGCTTCGGTGATTTTTACATTGGTATGTACGGTGTGTGCCCATGGCTGTAGAGGAGATAGTGTGGAGCTAATTTGTCTTTTTTTTGCATAAAAAAAGGTTTGATGTACAAGTCAGCTGATTATTTATGGCCTATTATAATGTGTGAATATAGTGTGCTGGAAAACCTAAAGAAAGAGAAATGGTATGCTTCAAACCAATCACCAAGGTCACAGTCCTAAATGAGGCACCAGCAATAATGCGAATTGACAAGTGAAAATAAATATTCAGAGATGCTCATTAATGTAACCAGCTAATGATATCTGTCAACACTCTCCTGTCAGGAGCAATATCTTCAGAGCTATGAAGCATGAGTTATTTTTAAAAAAACAATCATGTATCTATTGAAGTTATAACCTTAAAGAATGGATAAGGACTAGTTTCAAGATTTATTCTATTGATGTTCTCAACTGTGTGTAAGTTGCCAAAAACATCTCAATGAATGTGTCCTATTCTAATAAATGACAGTGTGTACAGCTTGGAAGATCAATAACATTTCATGTTTTATGTTGTAATATTTTTTGCTTTCCCCTGTATTCTGTGCCCTTTTCTAGGCACAAAATGAACTGATGTTTATTTTCTGCTGTACATTAGCTTAACAGCTTACAAGATGATTTTGGGGAGGGAAGAAGGTTGGGTTATGTGCATGCTGACAGTGTGCACAGTCTTTCACTCGATCATTAGCATCTAAATGATTCAAATTCAAGTAGAAATTGTGGTGAATCACTTTGTAGTGATATGAAATTTGTTATTTTGCAGGAAATGTACACTTACCTTTCAAATGAGATGAAGAGGTTGTCTGAAGCTTATGGAGAAAGACTTCTGGAGACGTCACATAACCCTATATCTTTAGGTAACTAGTATTCTTTTTAATATTTGATATTCACACTCACATGTGTTTTGGGGAGAAGAGAGGACCAAGGGGTTATACAGTGAATATTCCTTGAGCTGGGTAATGCTACAAATATTAATGAGGGTAATTGGGGTAGCGGAGGACTAGCATGGTTAGGCAAGCTTTTCACACTAGAGGTCACTGTAGTACAGGAATTGGTGTTTTAGTATAGTTACGCTCTTAAAATACATCTTCCATTAGTTTCCAACAGTGCTGTCTCTGCACTACTTGTGAGCTAAACAAGCAATATATCAGTGGGGCACTCCCCATTGCTTAACATTCATCATGACCTCATGTTTCATTGTTTTGCCATCCTATTGTTGGGTGCTGCACGCACAACCAAGAGCACCAAAATAATAATCCTTGCATTTGATACAGCACCTTATATTGTTGAGACGTCTCAAAGCGCTTTCCAGAATATACTGTAAAGTGAATTGACTATATATTTTGTGGGTGAAACACGGCAGCCAATTTCACACAGCAGCGTCCACAAACAGTTGTGGATTGGGTGACCAAATTATTATTTCTTTATTTTGAACGGATTATTAACCCCGGAAAGTGATCTGCCAATCGACTAACAACCGGGTTCCTACTTACTGCTCGGTAAACAGAGGCGTGTGGCTTCCACAAATAATAAATAAAAGGAGAAATAAAAGGAGTAGTACAGAAGTGATGGTGACTGATAATTTGAAGTCAGCCTCAGGACTTTAATTTTGCTCCTGTGTAGTTCTGTGCCTGCGCATTATGGTCATGCGGCAAACATAATGCCACAATATGTGTGTAAGTTGACGTTGCGCATGTTGACAATTTCACCCAGAAAATATTACAATCAATTCACTTTACAGTAAATTCTGTGAAGCGCTTTGAGATGTCTCAATGACATCATAAGGCTCTTTATCAAATCAAGGATTCTGCTTCTTATTAAAATTATATCAAACTCACTTACACATGTCCCAACCCCACAAAAAGACAAGAGAAGGGGAACCAGCACAACTTGTGAGATATAATTAACAGTGGAGGAGCCATATGTCAGCATTCCCACTTTTCTGCTGCTCATCTGCCACTCATAGCATGACATTTCTCATGGTTTTAGCCTTAAGGCTATTGACTTGAAATTTAATATTATACAGGATTTTGGAAAATTGTGAAATTTAATCTCGTTTTGGAAGCTGGTTTTCTGGAGCCCTTAAAAAATCGCTGAAGGAAATAGATTTCCAAATGAAGGTCGAATTAATAAAGAATTCAAAATGATCTCCAAATGCATTACAGGATTCTGACTCACAGTTACCTGAATGTACCTGAAGAAGGATAGTGCTTGCTGTGAGTGGTTCACCTTGCACATGGTGGACACTGTTTTCTGGCCTTGTATAGTGGTAGAAATTTGCTTTCAGCGATTTAATATTTTTGCCAAACATTTATGTAAAGTACACTCTGTCTGTGACAGCACAATGTAGCAAACCTAAGAATAGGTTTCCTCCAATGTTGACATGAATTTATTTTGCATTAGTCATGTCACTAAGAGCTGGTAATTCAATCAAGAAGTTCAGGTGCCACCAAATGTATTCCATCTGAATGCCAAGGCTGGATCTGTGCCTCAGATTGAGTTGGATGGATCAGCTACATATTTATTATAAAGATTAACTAGAAAGTGCTAGAGGTCCAGAAGTTGGCATGCTGGGCTTTGGCCTCCGCATTCTGGATTTTAATCTAGTCCAGATTTATAAGTCGCTATTGGCTGGGGTTGGTCGTTTGACATGCGACAAGCAGAGGTTTGAGCCCTCACTGCATGCAGAGAGCTGAGTAGCTGCTGCTCAAACTCCGCTCCTCCAACTGGTGAGAGCCATTGCACAGTGGGTGGAGAGGGATGTGTGTTTGAGCTGTGGGTAGAAAGATGGTGGCAATACTCTTGCATTTCATCCTCCTTGAGAAGTTAAGTAAAAAGGATCTTTTTGGAACTAAACTGGCTCCAAGGTTACGTGCTTGGCAACAGAATGTTGGAATGGAGTCAATCCTCTGGGGCAGTCTTGGTGTCTGATTGCTGAGCCAGACAGGTCCGCTGTACTCCAGGGCACTGTTGATGATAAACCAGCCAGTCTGGCTCAGTGATAAAACTTGGAGGGGCAGCGTTTACTCTCTGGGATAAGGTAAGCAGGATCCATCCTGCCAGGGATGGAATCTGTATTCCATTCCAAGCATAGACATTTCCACATGTAGATGGCATGCATGGAATTCTCAATGTCTTTTGGATATCTGTAAGTATGGTGTTGAATTTTTGCATGTATCAGACACCCAGCTGTCCAAAAAGAAAATAACTTTAGCAGATTTCGACCCAATTTCTTACAGATCTGACGTTATAGCACAAAACTGTCCTGAATTTGACACCAAATTGGCAGTCTCCCCGATGGCAGTTGCGAGAACAGAAAAGTTCACACTGGTTCAGTTGGGGATGTTCTTCTGAAGTTAGAGCAGAGTAGATCAGTTTTGCTCTGTATTTACCTGGGCTTTTTCTAGTCTGGGGGTGCTTGTTGCTAAACCGGGTGCCCAAAAATGGAAATATATACCACTTACTGGCGGTAACATCTCTCACCTTCATGAGCGCACAATTCTCCCTCTCAAATGAAAAAAAAGTACTTAATATTTTATCTTTTAAATCTGACCTTATCATTCACAAGAGTAGGTTGTAAAGATGATGTTGAGGTTTTGGGATCCTGTATTGAATATTAAAATTAGAGGAGAAAAGAGACCTGAAGGTATAGTAGATGATGGGATACAATATGCAGTATTGATGGGTTATTTTTAGTAGGAGATCACCATCTTGCATTTGGTCAGCTGAATTATTTTAATGAGAAGGAAACAGCAGCATATAGTAGCAGAGGCAGAGATCTCTCAGTTGTCATTTGCTTTTTTTCTTCTGCGTCGGGGAAAGGTTTTAGCATTTCAACTCCAGATGTCTTTTATTAAAAAAAAATTTTTTTTTGATGAGTTTCATTTCTGCTTTTAAATGTGATGACATTGTCTCCCTGAAATATTTTCATGATTAAATGACGGAGAACAGTGAAGAAAGCTTTGCAATTTGTCACACAGGTACTCTGGATCCGTATCCTGCTGTTAGGTGTTGGGTTTATCAGGTTTGTCTGCATCTGAGTCACAAAACCAGATGAAATTAGCTTTGAGAAAATGCAGACTCTTTTCAATTCCTAGTAACTTCTGGGTTAAAAAAATTTATAGATTCAAAGAGACTACAACTCAGAAACAAGCTATTTTGCCCATCCAGTCCGGCCTGCGTTTCTACTACACACGAGTGCCCATCCTAGATCCTTTCCCTCTTCCCGTATCCCAGCCTTTCCCCCGTAACCTCAACTTCATTCTCCCTCAACTTGTGTGTTCAGTCTTTTTTTGAATGTGCACATTGATTTCTGCCCCAACAACTGACTGTGGCAGAGCCTTCCACACTCTCACCACTCTCTGTGTGGGAAAGCTCCTCCTAATCTCCATTCAGGACTTCCCAGGTATGATTTATAATAATAATAATAATCCTTGCATTTGATATAGCGCTCTTCACGTCCGGAGGACGTCCCAAAGCGCTTCACAGAGCACACTGTAAAGTGAATTGACTGTGTATTTGTGGGCGAACGCGGCAGCCAATTGCGCACAGCAATGTCCCACAAACAGTCGTAGATTGAAAATGACCAATTTATTATTGGTTTTGGTTTTGGAGGGATTATTATTAGGCTCTGTGTGGAGTAAGGAAACTTGCCCAAGGTTTCGCTCTGCCTGGAATTGAACTCAAGTCTCTCGCTTGCAAAGCGAGTGCTCTAACCACTGAGCTACAGGATTTAACAGATAATAATAATAAGATTAATAATCCTTGCATTTGATATAGCACCTTATCACGTCTTCGAGACTTCTCAAAGCGCTTCACAGAATATACTGTAAAGTATATTAAAATAAAATATATTAAAATAATACTTTAAAATATATATATAAAGATAACAACAACTTGCATTTATACAGCACCCTTCATGTGGGACAATGTCTTGGAACTCTTTACAATTATGGGTTTGGATGACAGGCAAGGAAGGGATGAGGAGGAGAAGGTGGGGCTGACCAGAGGCACGGTTAAAGAGATAACTTTTAAGGTGGGACTTCAAGACAGATAGAGATGGAGGGTGTAAAGAGTGGTTGTTCCAGAGGATTAGGCATAAAATCTGAAAATTTGGCCACAATATGGAAAATATAGAGAATAAAACAATATGGAGAATGAAAACCTGTGTTTACAATCTGAGTTTGGCTCATTTTGTAGCATTCTCTCTTCAGAGACAATTATGGGTTTAAACTGTAACATGCCAGTCCAGCTAATATTGCTGAATTACTAACATTGTTAGAATTGCTGGGCGCTGCTGTTGACAGACCAGCTAGTGTGGTTCATTGGCAGGACCTGGAAGAGTAGACTGATCACCAGAAAGCCAGAGTCCTAAAGCATAGGGTGAGCCTAGCTGGACAAGCAGTGGGAAGCCAGACTAGGCAGTACTTTCAATGGCAAGCTTTGTGATTTCAGCTGATTAAACTTCAGCAGGATCCCAACACTGACTGTAGGGCCCCCAAGCATTGGCTCTTGCCAACCCATGACTAATCTCCAGAATTAGATAAAAAATGAGGCATCCTGCAGGGAGAAAATGAGTATTCTATTTCATGCACAGGAAAACGTTCATGGATAGTTGGCATTCATAACATAATTCATATGTGGAACTGACGGTTTGGTGTGGATACTCTTAAGCATGTTGATGGATTTCTGCTTGTCCAGCTAAGACCACCCTTTGCTTTAGGATTTTGGCTTGCAGGCTGATCAAAGATAAGATGAAAAGTTAAAGCAAGATTCTATCTGTCTGTTTTAGGCAAAGATAAGATACCAATTTGAAAAGAGAGGGGAATTTATCCACGGTTTTCTGTCTATGATCGTACAGATTAATTGGCCATTCAACTCATGACTGACTGTTTGTGGGACCTTTCTGGGCATAATGGCTGCCCTGTTTACCTACAATAACAGCCACTGCACTTGATGCTAACTACTTGTGAAACACTAAGACTTTTCAATGTGATAAGGCATTCTAAAAATGCAAGTTCAAGGTGTAATCTCTAGCCTGCTCACGTGATGTTTGACACTTGTGGGACGTAACTGATCCCCCGACTCATCATACAGCATATTCTTCCTATCTCAGTCTGCTTCTTGGAGACTTACCTGTGAAGTAGGTGACAGCAGTGTAATGTACGCATAGCGTAGTGACACTTCAGATGTTCTGGAGCCGCTAGTGCTTAATTTTATCAATTCAAGTACTTGAATTGATAAAATTAACGGCTGAAAGAGATTTAATTGGTTTTCTCCCAAATGAAGCATCTGCAGGCTGAGAGTTCCGTGTCTGGTGTTGCTGCTTCATAACATCTAAATGTTTCTTATCAATAAGCCGTTCTGGTTTTATAAAATCTGGATGTCAGTTTCATTACTATAAATATTATCATCGAACAATATGACAGTGTTCATTACAAAACAATGACTGGGTTTTCTTAATTTAAGTTAATAGCTGATTTCTTTAACCTTTTTCCCCATGAGCAAAAAAGGAAATGTTTTTGAGTAAAACAAATCTTATCTTAAATTTGAATGCAGGACAATGTGACCATAATTGTAACTAATTGTAGTTCTACATTTCAGAAAATTAGCTATCAGTTCTGGGAATTATGAAATATGTTTTTGCAACATATAAGTATGCCAGGGCCTCAGTTCCCACTTTTATTGACCTGGAACTTATTGTTTTCTCTTCACTCCTTTCCCTCTTGTCTTTGGGTCACTTTTGCTACCTACATTCAAAGCTAGGTGGGTCAGACTCTCTGCTTCTGCTCTGCAAGCAGCTGCTAGGCTACGTGTGAAGTACATGTTTCCTCCTTTATTTTTATTCCTCCTGTCTCTTGCGTCTGTAGGAAATTCATTGCCTCGCATCAGAGTCTTTCCGAGACTAGCATGGCTCTGATTGAGAATGCACCATATGGGGATTGTGACTTTACAACTTAAGCTTGCAGTATTCACTTCCTGTACTTTAGCCAACTATCGGTGAATTAGATGCATGCCTGGACAGGTGTATGAATAGATGCAGAGAAGTGTTAGAACACAACATCTGGCCTCTCTTCTCCTATGTGTCTATTTTGCATTTAAACACAAATTGGCCAAGAGGCAATCCCTGAGAAGAGTAGACTGTGCATACAACTCATACTGCAATTGCCTGTCTTATTTGTTTCAGCAATGTCCCTGAAAAGATTCCATCAATATGGTGATGAGTCGGTTACTCAGCTTGGATCAATGCTTTTCACCAGACTGGTATCTGGAGCCAGGTGAGTTACTAAGAGGATCTTACCCTTTAAAACATCGGATAATTCCCTTCTGTTTTGTTTATGTTCTTGAAGATTGAGGCGAGAATCAGGATTGATGTTGCTGTACATGTGGTGATCTATAGTGAGACCATAGTGGTTACAGAATTTGGTGCCATTTTTACGTTCTTCGGTCTATCATATGTCACTTTTTGTTCTCGATTTGCTACTTTAATTCAAGTGCTCCAAGACGCTACCTCGCATGAAGGGTGTTATATCAATGCAAGTTTATGTTGTTAACTTTTTATTTTAAGTAGTTTAAGTTGTGACCTCTATTGATTTACCAGCCAATAGAAATAAGCAATTACTATTTACCTTATCGTAAACTCTTCATAATATTGAAGACCTTTATTAAGTCCCCCTTTTAGTGAGAGATGCTCATAACTTAAAGTCTCTTAATAGCTGAAACCTCTCATCCTTGGATTGGAGCAGGGATAAGAGGAGCAAACTTGTTTGGACTGCTGCTTGGCCAGGATCTAACAACTTTCTTTTTCTTCTCATTTCAGAGTTGTTCCTCTTGGCTCAAAACAGACTGTAAATGGGTACACATTCCAGGGCTTCATGTCACATGCTAATGACTATCCGTGCCCTTATCTGAATGCTGCATCGGCTGTCGGAATGAAAAAACAGGACGTGGACCTCTTTATTAAAAAACTGGATAAGTGCCTTAAGAGTTTGAGGAAAGAGCGAGGAAATCTAAGAAGTGAAACTGGAACCAAAACATTGGAAAAATCTGAAGATGCTGGTGTATGTGAGTTATCAGGAAGTGTCCACGATGTTCTGAGAATTGGGACGGATGAAACAGCTGCCCCAACTGATGGAGTGGTGTCATTGTAAAATGTTCTTCAGGGGCAAGCACTCAGCATTATGCTCTGGAAATGCAATAATAACATCTTGAATGGGATCATTGAGAATTGTCATTATTGTTCACAGCTAATTTTTTTTATTTTCCGCTGCTCTGTGTAAAAACTAGTGGTAGAGGATTGTGCTATTATTCTGAATTAATGTACGTTAGTAATTTAATTGCAACCAGCTGAAAGAATAATTCGGTCTTATTATGATGTATAAATCATTGACATGAATAAAAGTAGTTTTCTCCATCAGAACAGTTGCTGTAGTGGTGCTTGACTGGAAAACAGCCATGACTTGCCTTAGGATTGCGCTTACCCTGAGCGATCAGTGAGTGTTTGTTCACCGACCAATACAATCACCGCACCTTACAGTAAAATCCTGTGAAGTGCTTTGAGACGTTTTGAAGATATGATAAGGCTCTATATAAATGTAAAGATGATTATTATTATTATAAGGTAACATCTTTGCATAATTATCCAACTAACTGCATAATAGCAATATTTCCTTTGGTAACTATCGTGTCCCAGCTTTGCTCTTTCCTCTCTTGCCATTCCCTCGCTGAACCCCTCCAAACATGTTTCCATGCTGCCCACAGGAAAGTCACCAACAGCATTCTGAATATCTGCGACCAGGGCTCTCTTTGCCTCCTTGACCTCCTCTGCTGCCTTCGACACTTTCGACCACTCTATCCTCCTACACCGCCTCTACTCTCAAATCAATCTTTGCGGATCTGCCCTTGCCTGGTTTGAATCCTACTTCTCCCACTGTCTCCACTTCGTCGCCACTAACGGCTTCTCTTCCAGCCCCCGCACTGTCTCGTGCGGCGTTCCTCAGCGGCTCTTTCTTGGCCCTCTCCTTTTCAATATCTATATGCTCTTCCTTGGTCACCGCAGACATGGGGTCAACTTCCACATGTAAGCAGATGACACCTAACGCTACCTCTCTGCCTCCACCCTTGACTCCAGGACCACTGCTGTCCTCACAGACTACCTGTCAGACATCCAGTCCTGGATGAGAGCTAACTTCCTGCAGTTCAATGTCAACAAGACCGAGGCCCTCCTGCTTGGCTCCTATCAGAATTTCCATACCTCGTTCACTGACAGCATCTCCCTCCATGGGTACGCTCTACATCTCACGGAGCCACTACGAAATATCGGCATCCTGTTTGTCCCTCAACTGTCCTTCATACCCCACATCCGTGCCACAAACTGCTCCGCCTTCCCCCACCTCCGCAACATCGCTCGGCTCTGCCACTGTCTCACACCGCAGGCGGCCGAGATCTTCATACACGCATTCATAACTTCTATAACTCCCTGGCTGTCGGCTTCTCCAACTCCTCCCTCCATAGGCTGTAGATCATCCAGAACTCTGCAGCCTGTGTCCTCTCCCGCACCAGGCTCCGTGACCCTATCACCTTCCTCACCCAACTCCATTGGCTTCCCATCACACAGAGGATGCCTTCGATCACCCTCCTTCCCCCCCCTGCCCTCCACCTTCCCCAATGCCCAAACGCTAATTATCCGGCACCTTGGGACATCCTTCTGATGTGAAATGCACTATACAAATGTAATTTGGTTTGTTGGTTGTTTGTTATAAACTATTGTAATGAATACAAAACAATTATGCTGCGCCAAAGATACATGTGAATACACGATATCCTGTGAATAACTGGGGAGAATGGAACTGCGTTTTTTGTGTGGGTGAGGGTTGGAAGCATTGAAGAATGACACGTTCTTTAATATCTGAAAAACTAATTGGTAGTTCAACATTGCCTTAAAATAACACTTTACTCCTCTGCGCCAGCCATTACTGTGCTTCTGCTTTGCAGCTGCTCGTCAAGTCAATTCTACTATACACTACACACAAAAAATGCCAGAACTCATTACACTTGAGACCCTTAACAGGTAATACTTGACAGAGTTAACACCCTGAAAGTAAGTTATCATTCTTCAATTGGATTATAGATCAGGGACTTGAGTCTATTTGGAGCACAGCCGCACAGGGTAAGTTCTTGATTTTAGTCACATGACTGGGCACCACTATATTTAAAATGTATTTTCTTTTGCCGATAAGGTTCAGATTAAATTTTGGGGAAGAATATGTACTGTAATGTGGTTTCAAAATAATATTTGTTCTGAGCAGTTTACAATGAGCGCAGAGTTATCTTTAAAAAGTCGACAAAACCCAATGCAGTTTTGACAAAAGGTAATTGGAACTAACAACTGCAAGGGGACCAATTAAGCAGGTGGTTACCACATATGTTACATGCATTAAACCGAACCCAAAAGAGAAATAACAACGTGATAACCAATAAACCACCCAAGTGAAATCTTAAGACTCAAGTCTCCATGGTAAATTATCCTGTGCAGCGGCTGAAAGGCGTATCACAAGAGTACATTTGGATGCAACTTAAAGTCTATAAGCATGTAAAGCACGTATATGTTTTGATCCCAAGGTGGATAGTTAAGAAATCTAGGGCAGAATTTTATCACTAATGTGCTGCTGCTAAACAGCATTAGTACCACAGTCCATGGCATTAATGCTGCTGTGTTTAGCAATGTACAAATCTGATGACACACCTGAGGCCTCCCACCACACTCAATTAGTGTTAAATATAGGTTCTCAATGGGGGAGGCAAATATATTATCACTAATGCAGTATGGAAAGCACTAATGCTGTTATGTTTCTTTAAAGCCTTCATTCATTCTGTTTTTGTTGTTTTTGTTTCTCCATGTTTTATTCAATTATTAACTGACTGCTCTGTTCCTTCCCCCTTTGGTTATATCTTCCCTTGATTATGGGGTTGAGATTGGGAACTCAGCAAACGTTCAATGTGGCTCTTGACTTAGTCCAGTAGCGCAACAGTTGGCTCTGGGACTCTGGTGCTCTGGGACGCCGGTGCTCTGGGACTCTGGTGCTCTGGGGCGCCGGTGCTCTGGGGCGCCGGTGCTCTGGGGCGCCGGTGCTCTGGGACTCTGGTGCTTTGGGGTGCCGGTGCTCTGGGGCGCCAGTGCTCTAAGATGCTACCCTGCATGAAGGGCGCTGTATAAATGCAAGTTGTTGTTGTTGTTCCTCTTCTATTATATTTCCTATCCATTTGTGCTGACATTCACGCCTGGTCACATTAATTTGGATAAAAAGGCCCTTCAGCCCAGCGGATGTCAGCCTCGCAAAATACTCTGCCCTCCTCCCATTCACAGCATCATGCTGTTTTTTTTAAATTAGCCCAGTGTCCTGGACTCAACCATCCTTCCTGCCAACCTGTTCGTCATTGCTTACCCTCCGGGTAAAGAAATGCCATGTTCAAGTCAGCATTTTTCATTTGTGAAGCAAGACAATGATTTTCAGCAGGTTAACCAAGCAATGCAGAATGCAGAAGCAATGCAGTCAAACCTGATCTCATCCTTCCTGATGAACAAATATATGCGCTTCCCATGATGTTTACTGGATTAAGATCAAAAGTGGGAACTCCTGCATAATCCTCCCTAACCACGGACATTTAGGTGAGTTGCCAAACTAGCCAAGATCAGCTAACTCAGCATACAGCAGGAATTGATTATGACCATTTCCTGATATCTATGGTTGGTCTCATGTCAATGACTACCAGCTGAGTCACTGGGAAACATTGATAACTTTCTCTCTCATCCCAAATATATGATGCATTTCTCTCTCATCCCCTAATTTTTTTAATACAGGTGAGAATGTTCTTATAAATTCTCAGCATTGTATTTAGACATTCCTTCTCAAAGCTCTAATCAAAATACAACCAGACATGATTAAATCCCATTACAAAGATGTAGCAAAACTATTGCAATTTTGAATAAGACCTGAACATGGAGAAAGTTTGTTTTAAGCTATGCTTTAATATTCATAAGGCTCCACAAATAGCCAATTTAGTCTGCTGAATAATTTAATATATTTTTACATGCTACAACTTTCCTCAAGTGTCAGATTGGAATCAATCCAATAGAAAAATATCTTAGATTAATAGAAAACTTAGTTTTCTCGTTGAGGCGAATGGAGGTTGGAGCCTTTCTGCAGAGTCCTTTAGAGTAAGCAACTCAATGGACTTTCCTCTTGCAAACTGATGATGCAGGTTACTTTATGCGTAATAAATACTGTTTTAATGCACAACACTAATGTTTATTTTTAAATATGCTTGTGATTTATCCAAATAACTATAAGATTACATCTAAAACAATAATATTTCTCTGATGAATTATTTGACTTGCTCTTTGGTCACTTGATTGACGCTGTGCTATTTGTAGTCTCCCTGTGCAATCTGTACCGGTGCAAGGTGCGGATGCCCTCACTGTCCGCCGAGATTGATGGACTGTGAAAACTAGAACAACCCAACAGGCTAAAGCTCTCCCAGCAATTTGCTACAAATAACTTTCAGTAGGCTTCGTTCCCCTTTCTTTATTATTCTGCAGGTGTCTGGACAGTAGTCATGGTCTCAAACAGGTCCTCATCACCTACCTTTGTTAATCTACTCACTCCCCTCCTCAGATGAGCCTTTTAATTGGTTCTAATATTGCTTATTAATAACATGTTAGGAAAGCTGCAGCATCATCCCCACCAGAACTGATTTGGTGCTAAGTAATAATAACATAATAATCCTTTCATTTGATATAGCACCTTATCACTTTGAAATCCCTCTATAAGCGGTTCACGTAAGTTTTTCTGCGAAGAGTAATGACTCTGTATTTTCAGGCAAACTTGCTGAATCAAACTTGCTCTACCATGCAATGGAATCTCTTCCTTTTCAGTACTCTGAGTTGCTTATATAATCCTAAAGCACATTGTAAAAATTCAAATTCAACAGAGAAAAAGCAAGAGTTAAAAAGGCACCGACACAATAATTTGGGTTATGCACAGGTGATGAACGAAGCACCCAAGCAAGCAATTGGATGCATGACACAGTGTAAAATCTCAGTTGACAGGGTATTTACGATTATGTTCTAAAATGTTAGTTTAGGGGATGTCAATCTTCACCATAATGATAGCAATACAGCTGAATTATCTGTGTCAGAAAAATATCCTGTTAAAGGCTAAGATAACATTGGTAGCCTGAGTGGAAGGAAGTGCAAGATGATATGAACCATGGAATGAAATACAGTTACTTTTAGGAGACTGCAGGATAGTGCAGTCTTTTCACTTGGGATGCAAGTTCAAATACAGGCCAAACTGGTGGAAAGAATATTTGCTTTCTGTGAGTCCTTCATGACTTACTCCTCGGCCCATTTCATGGTGA